TGGGTGGGTTAGCAGGCTGCTCATAAGTTGAAGCAACAAGTCTAACTTGCCCATGATAAGTGGATATGGCTCTCGGAGTGGAGGGTGCGGGGGCAGCGAGGATCTGTGAGGAGCGACGAGGCCTTGGGCTTGAGGAATCCATTGACAAATCCGGGATGCTGTGGATTCCTCGAATCGACTGGCGGCGCGGACACATTGCTCTCAAACGTTGATCCATCTCTATTATTTGTGTATATCCTTTTTCATCCTCTCTTCTTCTTCTGAGGTATCAGAGCAAGCTTTATATACCTGTTCTATGCTATGTGGAATCTGTCACGGGCCAGGGCCCATATCCTTGCGGCTGTGCTGTAAGATGTACTTGGCTCGTGCGCGCCAGGGATGGGAAATCGTTCCACAGCTCAGGGGCACTTAGGAACTTCTTTCTTTCTTCTTCATCTTTGATGTAAATAGCATCCTGGACTAGATAGCTGGAATATAGTTACTAGAGGCCGTTCACAGATAGACTAAACTTACTAACGTACATAATAAGCGAGCGACTCACCTAACCACATTTTCACCTCAACATATATTTAACATACCATTTCTCAACACATAAACATGGCATCGCCTAGTAAAGAAAGGCATCTTATTACAGCTGTCCAAGCTATCCAAAAAGACCCAACTCTAAGTATACGGGCCGCAGCCAAGATCTACACGGTCAGTTAAACAACACTCAGCCGCCGCCTTAAGGGTATAATTTCCCGATGCAATAGTATTTCCAATTTGCGAAAACTTATAGAATTAGAGGAATTAATAATTATTAAGTATATCCTTAATTTAGATTTATAATTATTATCTTTTTAGTTTTATAATATAGAAGATATAATTAATTAATTGCTTATTAATTATAATATACCTCTAATTAGTAAGTATTAAGCTTTAAATTTTATTAAGTAATAATTAGAGCTTAAGATATATTTTATATATAAATATAATTATTAGAAGATTTAATATAAAGATTTAAATATTATTTAAAGTTAGTTTTAGCTTATATAAAATATAATTATAAAATATAATATTATAAAATTAAATATTTATAATTTTAATAAAATTAGATTTATAATAGATATTATTTTAATTAAAATAGTTATTATAAGTATTAAATAATATAAAAAGCTAAAAATAGCTTAGCTAGAAAATAAAAAATAAGTTATTATAATTTAAAATATTAATTTCTAAAAGTAGGTAATTTTACTATTTATTATTATTATAAATTAATATTATTTTATAGCTTAATATAATAAAAAAACTTTATTATAAGATTAAGTTATTATAATTTTAAATAATAGCTAGATAATAAATAAAAAAAACTTAGAATAAATTTAATATTTAGATAAGTATTTAAAAATATATTTTTCTAGTTTTTATTATCTTTTTATATTAAATAGATATAAAAGTTATTATTTACTTAAATTTAAATTATTTTATAAAAAGAATAAAATTATTACTCTCTATATATTACTATATTTATCTTATATTTTCTATTTACTTAATATTAATTACTTTAAGTTACTTAAATAAGTTTATAGTTAATAAATTAAAAATATAATAAAAACTTAAATTATCTATATTATTAAAGTTAACTTTTTTTCTATATTTTAAGCTATATTTTAAAATATAATATTAAAAAAAAACATCTAAAAAGATTTTAAAAATATAGAATTTATTTCCTATAATTTAGAAAATATACTTTCTTACTTAAATATAAAATTATAAATTTTATTATTTATAAAAGGAAATTTTAAGTAGCCTAACTTTTAAATTCTAAAAATTCTAAATAACTTAATTAAAGTTACTTTATAAATTAATTTTATTAAAACTTAAATTAGCTATTATTAAAAAAGCTCTTTAATATCTATTTTAACTACTATAAATTAATTTATAAAGAGAATATAAGAAATAATATACCAGATAGTATTATTAAAGATAGAGGTTAGCAAGCTTCAAAAGTAAATAAAATACTTAGCCGGCGGCGTAGGGCGAAAAAAATACATCTACGACTTTTTGGGAGTATAACAGTAGCTGAGAGACAGAAGCTACAAGATCGAAGGGAAATTGCTGATCAGATACAGCAGGAAACGCGGCAAAGTGGTGGTCGGGAGAGGCGGACAGAGACAAGGGAACGGCGATGTGGAAGATGCAGAAAACCCGGGCATAATGCGCTTGTGAAATTGATGTAGATGCGTCTGGAGAAGAGGATGATTATTGATTTTAATTGATTTTGGGTGTTGTGGTTGTTTTATTATGATATTTACTGGCGAGGGTGTGGTTTGGTGAGTCGCTCGCTTGTCTGAGTCGCTCGCTTGTCTGAGTCGCTCGCTTGTCTGAGTCGCTCGCTTGTCTGAGTCGCTCGCTTATCATGTACGTTAGTATCACGACTATCAGGCTTGCGTAAATCACCCTTTTGAGATTTGCGGTGACTATACTAGCTTGTTGAAAATAAGTATTTAGGATAATGTGCTTGAGATCTAGTTGGAGTAATATCTTAACACCTTAAAGAGGTAAACCTGACTGGTGGATGACCACTGTCGAATCGATATTTAGCTAACATCCCAGCAACTGGGCGAGGCCGTTTCCCGGGTGGCCTTCACGTAGGGGTTAGGTATGTGAAAAGGCCAACCTGGAGAAGGCAATCATGTTAACAACATCGTTCTAGCTGGAATAGGGAGCTGGCCTTTAAGATAGAGCTGGCCAAGAGAGGCTAGTATAAGTTTAGGGGTTACATTATATTTGGACGGACGATCGATCCACTTGGGCGTGTTATCCTTGGCGGCAGTAAATAGGAAGCTTTTCCTATCGACTCCGATCTTACTGGCATTCTGGTATATAAAACTACAGTTGGCGTCCAGGGGGCTGGGATTATTACCAGCACTAAGGTGAGTCGTAAATTGCTACATAAGCTCGTTTTGCGGCTCTTGATATACCTCGAGCACTATATCAGAAAAGAATAAGAGACTCGCCGTAATATAACACCTGAGTTTGAAGCCATATCGTCCAATATTAATAATAAGAGCATATATAAGCTTTACTTATAGTATATATAAAGCACCCTCACACTCCCTCCATTGCGCTGCCGTAACGACCCCGAGGCCATTCCAGGATGCCGTCAAGGTTCTGCCGACGTCTTTTGTTTGTATCCACGGATCGACAACTCCAACAGCTGCTCAAACAGCAAAGCTCTAAACAGGTTGCTAAAAGAGATACTCAGCTTCCACGGTGTCGTCTTGCCTGACTATCTCGCACAACAAGCTGAAGTAGCAACTACCTTAGCCGGCATAGACATGAAAATATCAAGTAGAAACCCCAGTAGGGTGGAAGTCTTACTGAAGCAGTGAGAAATAGATCAATTACTGAATCTCGAGTCACGGATATAGCCATGAGGATAATTGTATCATAGCATCAGATAGGTTACGACAAGAACTTCCCCTTCCTGGTGCGGGTATGCCCCAGCGTATTATCGAAGTTCACCAGGTAGTTGATAGGAGAAACGTCTTGTTTCGGTCATTTTCTTCCGGCGGTGCCGTAGAAGGGCACGGTCTTGTCAAGAATACCAACACCGCGCTCTGCTTTAAGACTGCCCGCCTACTGTCTCATAAATACATATTATTATAGAAGATGGCAGATAAACACGACATAGTTGCGTTAAGTGCTCTCCCGGTGCTCACCTCTTGCCACCGCTTTATATTCCCCTCGTGGGTGTTTGGTTGGGTGATCAGTGTGCGCCTCGGGTGATCCAGGTGACCTGGTCGTAATTTAGACCATTGCCTTATGCTCTTTATCATCTGAATTGTGTAGCGCAACACTGACATTGAAAGCTTGCATGCGAAGGATCACTTTGCTGGTGTCTTGTAATACGAATGTTACAGGGTTGTTGCTGACGGTCCCCGCTGCTCTGAGATCCTCCTGCGTACTGCTATCATACTTAGGAATCGTGCGCTTTACTTGCCCGAAACAGATCATGGTTATGCCACCACAGCCGTACTCTTTTCCCGTAGATGTATGCGGGGATTGTTGTTGCACTCAAGGCAAGCATGGTCCCACCAATACATTGGAACACCCGAGCTGGTCCCCATTCTGCCACCCAATCGTTCATAAAATCTGTATTGTCAGCCTCTTGAAAATAGTGATGGGATCCTGGAACATGGGAGACTTGGGAGTGACTTACATGAGAATCCAAAGAAGAAGAAATTCTTGATCGACATGGAGAGGACGAAAATGTGTACGTCAACCTCGCGGTAAGCATCAACAAGATACGAGCTTGTTGCTGTGCCTACGATCTGGGTGCTGACAAAAGCGAGACCCCACACAAAGGAAATGAGAATTGGGCTCTTGCCTTGTTCCGCGAGATAACCGAATAAGAAAAAGCCAACTGTGCTGAATATCGGGGCGACTATGACCAGTAGTAAGCGAAACTCTGGCTCATAGATTCCGTTGTTCCTTCGGCTGATAAATAGGGCCATGTGATCGGAGACCACACCACACACAAGACAGGAGATAAGCCCTGCAACAATCGGACCTGTGTTCAAGTAACCGAGTTGAGCTGAGTCCATAAGATATGGCGGTGGCGAGAAAATCTGGGCCAGTACGAGACTGATCACCACATTCCAGAGTTGACCGAACCCATTGATAAGAACGGCCCAGATGACAATGGGGTTGGCGATCAAGTAGAATGGCTGTAACGTCATCTTTAACAATGACTTGTCATCGTAAATCCCGGAAAAAGGCTTCATTCTCTGGAGAAATGAGTCTCGTCTCCCATCTACGTCAGAGGACGAGGGAATATTTTCCAATTGTCGTACTTCGGCCTTCTCTTGGGAGTCTGTGACCAATAAATTTGGCTCGTCGACTTTCTGACTTTCCTTTCTTCTGGTCAACATGAATCGTACCGGAGACCTGGCCAAACTTACTCCTTGAGATAAAGTGCCAGGACTGCAGGGCTTGTTGCGCACATATGATGTCTCCCAACCGAAAAGTACAATTCCGAGAGTTCCAATCGCCATGAAAATGGAGAGAATTCCGAAGCACCACCGCCAGTCCATCGATGTGGCAATTACGCCTGCGATCATACCTGGGAGTAGGACCAGTCCAACGGCTGAACTGACGTAGAGTGCCATGCGTAAACCCCTCTGGTGAACAAAGTAGAGGTCACCAACTGCAGAGAAGGGAATGCTCTCAAAGGCTGCCGTTCCAACGCCTTGTAGTAGTCGACCTGTGAGTAAGACGTCGTATGAAGATGCAAACGTGCACAGAATTGATCCTGCCAGCAAGAATGCTGAGGAGACAAGGTAGACAGGCCGCTTTCCGTACTTGCGAGCCAGAGCTGAGACAATAGGAGCGACAGCGCCAACGATCAGGACCTGATAGCCAGAGAGGAGCGACACATCTTGGAAGGTGACGTGGAATTCCTGAATGATTGGTAGGGCAATTGTCGATACCAGCGGACCGACCCTACGTCAATGGTAAGTTTCGTTCAATGCGCATGGAATAACGGAGCCTTGCTCTCCCCAAGGGAATAAACTCACCCTCCAACACAGATATTGGTACAATAACATAAAAGAAGCAAAATCAGATCACGCTGCCATAGAGGCCAGTTGAGCGGGTCGTTTGGGCTGTTGGAAGGCTGCGGGACAAGCACAGTATCGGAGTCATTCCCGCCTGCCTTCTTGAGCTGGGTACTTCGGCTCGTGGCATCCTCTTCCAATCGAGAAGTGCCGGGGACGAATTCATTGCCAGAGGTTTCGAAGACTCCAAATGCCATGATGAAGGGATCAAGGATGCAATTCTGTGGGAGTGTGCTCTGAATGCAGAAGAGAAGACGAACGCTGGTCTTTATATTACTTGGATGGTATCTGGTGCGCCACCACCTCCTGTGTGAACACATGGGGCGCCCACGACTCAATTCTAGATGTGGGGCAACAATCCTTCCCCCTCGAATACTGCTGCTTGATGCACAATCTAGACTACAGACGATACTGCACAATCCCACATGACGGAAGCATCTAGATGGCTTAGCGCAGAATTAACATTTGCGGGGTTGTGGGGGTTCCCCACAGAGTCATCTCCTTCCCCGCGTTCATCCAGGCCGAGGCGAGTCCCTATCGCGGTGACGATGATGGAGAAGCCTCTCCCTGGTCACAATCCTGCCCCGGCAGATACGGTTCCGAAGCCCATGCGACCAGACCCTTGCGTTGACTCTAGCCACATCACCGCCTTCACTGAGGCTCATCCAGGATCCTTTGCAACCAAGCCCCTCGGCGCGCAATCTCGGTTGGACTTTGAGGTCCTGGCCTGTGTATCCCGACGCTCGACTCCTATCTCTTCTCGCAAGCAAGGCCCCCCGGGTTTCAATTCAATCAATCTACCTACCGCCGCAATGTCCCCAGATATGAACCAGGATCAGCAAGTTCAAGGGCGCATCCACCGTTGCAAATCCTGCGACCGTGTATTCGCCCGCGCTGAACACCTCCGTCGCCACTGCCTCTCGCGTGCGTCCCCTCAAGTCCCCAAATATCTTCTCAGCCTACTCACGCTCTGTTTGTGAGTAGATGAAAACAGGAAACCAAACGTATGCAGACCATGCGGTTCTCGGTTTGGCCGTTCCGATGTGCTACGCCGTCACACCAAGAAATGCGCCGAGTATCAACGAATGGTCCAAGGTGCTCACAACACAGACTCTGAGTCGGAGCCAGGCGGCCAGCAGCGACCAACGACAGCATGGAAACCGGCAGCCCAAGTAGGAGCCTTAAAGTAAGTTACCCTCGATGATTCTTTCAACCCAACCTCACGCGGGGATGAATAGCGCCCTGGGCCCAATGCTGGGGAGCCCACAGTCTATCACTGGGATTCCGCCTCCCGACACTGCTGTCGCCATTGACTCAGCTCTCGGACTCTCACCCTCGATGGCTGTTCTGCCAGAGACTCCATCGGTACCAAGTTCAATGCATGAGTTGCTGGGAACAGGGGACTTTGACGATATGGGATTCTTGGAAGACTTCCTCCTACCGGACACTACTATGATACCTGGACGTCTTGCTTCGATGGCGTATGAGGACGAAAGCATGCCTGGATTATCTGCGTGGGATAACATTGGCCTCGCATGCAACCGGGGCGGGGTACCCTTATCGACTTTCCAACCAACCGTTCCGAATGTCCGCAGCAAAATAAGCGAGCCTGGTTACTTCCGAGTTCTTTCAACCACCGACTATGAGGCTGAAGAGTTCCGGAAGAAGCTGCATTGCATCTGCCCTCACCAGATTCTCCACTCGTTTCGGTTTCCTACTCGATCGCGGATCGTGCGTTGCATCGTGGCTTATTTTGATCACTTCGACCCGCACACCCCCATCATTCAGCATGCCAAGTTCAGTCTCTGCGAGACGCATCCGGCCCTTGTTCTCATAATACTGGCGATTGGAGCCATGTATCTTTCCGAGCATGACTTCTCGGTCCATGCATACAGAGTCGCCTGCAGCCTTCTCGAGGCTTACCCCATCGATCAGAGCAAGGAGACTCCGTCTCAGTATGAACTGGCACCTCTCCAGGCAACGGTGCTCTGTGTTCAGTTTGGTGCCTTTAGCGGACAGGACGCTTATTCGCAACACTCTCAGCGTCAGTTTGCTACAGTCTGCGAGGCGTTGAATAATGGCTTAGGCCTTGTGAAGACCAAGCGAGACGCGGCTGAGCAGAACTGGGACCAATGGTCCTTTATCGAAACCTTTAGCCGTTTGGCGACATGGACTTGCACTCTCAGCGCGATGCTCCTGGCAAATGACCCAATGGCTGCCTACATGGCTCCCTATCAATTACGGGAAGTACCACTCCCCTCTACCGAAGAGTTGTGGCGAGCCCAATCCGCATCTCAGTGGGCAGCCGCGCCTGAGCGTGCCAAACTCCACAGCGATTCAAATCTGTCTGACGTGGCCGAAGCACTACTGCGAGGCAGCGCTATACCGGAGAACCTAAGTTCTTTTGCTCTTTTATCGCTTGCGGCATGGGCCCTGACCTACATTTGCACACAAGAAAGGTTGGCCATGTCGCTTGGTCCTGTCGATCTGTTCAATAGCGACTTCAGACTCAAAATGGAACGAGTCCTTTCCGAGTGGGCTATGTATACTCGCCGTCGCATGAAAGCGGACCGCGTCATATATCGCCTCAACGATCCCTTGTTTACCGATTGCTTTCCGCTTCTAGCATCATCGTACTACCACCTCTACCTGGGTGAAGAATTGCGAGCCTTGAAAGACAAGGCAGCCAAGGACGAAGCACTGCCACTAGGGAGCAGAGTCACCAGTAATCTTCCCTCGGTTGTTTCTCTTCGCTTGGCCCACAGGGGAATTGCGTATGCTGCCAACTCATGGCTGGTACGTTCCAAACTAGGAATGGGACATTTTAAAGATACGGCATCCATAAACTACGGTGGACACTATCTCATGACTGCGTACGAGACTGGTAAGTGTAATACATGAAGCGCGAGCATTATTAGACGCCCAACCTTTCCACCTTTCCCAATTAGAAGCAACGGCTGACCAGTCTTGTCCATCAGCATTAATCCTATCATGGTGGCTGTCAATCGGTGGCGGGTCAGAACCCCAAGATGCCAGGGGAAATCATGCTGCTGCAGTGAAGTCAATTAGCGAAATCCTATCCGAGGCATTCGTCGAGGTGGAGGACCAGGGAATTCCGTGCGGAGATGCAGTTACTCGAGCGCTTGGCCCACTGTTATTCACCCAGCGCTGCCTGTCTCAGTCTGTCTATCCGTGTAAGTCCCACGCGTATTGGCGAAAGAGGTGAAAGTACCTAACATGCAACCAGTTTGCCAGCGTTTGGAGCGTCGACTTGGTAGCTTTTCCGAGGCTATTCGCCTCAATACTGTCTCGAATTGATAGGCACACATGGTGCCACTTGGAGGGTGCTGCATGACCAGGGGAAATGAAGAAAACGATTGCACACTCTAAAGATATGTCGGAAAAGAGATGTGGGAGAACTAAACGATTTTTCTGAAGTTTACAGTCGCCCATCTAGTCCCTTCCACTCTAGTGTGCTGGGGACAGCGGTGGGGAGATGATTTCCCACATGGTGAACCCCCACCTCCTCCAGCACACCTCCACCTCATTCTCAGTATCCACATACAGTCAACGCCCTATGGAGTCAAGGTGGGGTGTTGCTCAGGCCACAAGATAACGTCGACCGGATGGGGCGAAGTGACGGCATACAAAGGATGGAATGCGGCCTCGTAGGTACCAAGCGTGACAGACACAGATTCCCACAATTACCCCGAATTCAAAATCTACAATGATCCAGTATCCAATCAAGGTTGATCCTTCTTCTCCTTTCCCAATTGAGAATATACCCTTCGGGATCTTCTCAATTAATGACAAAGTGAACTACCTGGCTTCAGTCATCATATGGATCCGAGTTATTAACACCTAATAACAGTCAACCCGACATGTGGGAACGATCATCGGAGGCTATGTCATCGACGTCAAGCTTCTAGCAGAGCACGAAGCATTCAATGGGACAGACGCTGCAGACTTGGCGGCAATCAACGCAGCTGTGTCCAGTGATACGCTGAACCTACTCGCCTCTCTACCCTACGCTAGTCGTTCCTTCGTCCGAGAGCGGATCATTCATCTGCTCACTGAGCCAGGCTCGGTCCTGTTCACTAATTCCAATCTCAACAAAAACGCCTTTATACACGCAGAAAAAGTCAAGATGCACCTACCTATTGAGGTGCATTCATTCACAGACTTTATGTGCTCCGAGACTCATCTGGAAAATGTAAATATCCCCTCGTATTACTGCAGGATCTAAAACTTATCGCATATGAACTCTAGGGAAACAGAATCACAGGTAACACCATGGCTTCCTTCTTTGCATTTCCTACTGCATATAATGGCCGAACAACATCAATCATCCCGAGTGGGGATCCTATCCTGCGACCCAAAGGAATGCTTAGGCAACCCATTCCTGACGGGCCGCCTGCATACTCCTTTTCCGCCTCAACGCGGTTTGACTTTGAACTGGAAATGGGCGTCATCGTCTCGGGGAAGATTCCGCGTGGCCAGATCATCACTGCCGACCAGGCAACCGAGCTCATATTCGGCTTCGTCCTTTTGAATGACTGGTCTGCCCGAGACATTCAGTTTGCAGAGATGACGGGGATGGGCCCATACAATGGCAAGGCTATGGCTACGACAATCAGTCCCTGGGTGGTCTTCCCACAGGCCCTGGAAGAATCTCAGTGCGAGTTGACATCTAAGAAGTCCCGAGCAATCATGCCGTCGCATCCTGACCATCTCCGGCACCGTATGGCGGATGGTAGAGTCACATGGAACGTTGAACTGCAGGCATTAATTGCCAATCGCAACGGGCCTTCTACAATCGTATGCAAGTCTAATCTGCGCGACCTGTACTGGACGCCTGGTCAAATGCTCGCCCACATGACATCATCTGGAAGTGGAGCTGTAGCTGGAGATCTCTTCGGCAGTGGCACCGTCTCGTCGCCGGGACATACGGCCGAGAACCCGACTCTCGGCTGTCTATTTGAATTGACAGACGGAGGCAAAACGCCTTTGAGGCTCAAAGATGGCCGTGAGATTGTCTGGCTGGAAGATTACGACGAAGTTATTTTAACCGGATGGGCCACGGGGAAAGGGGGCAAGAGGATTGGATTTGGAGAGGCACGTGGCATGTTGATGCCTACAGACTGGCTTGTTCCAGATAAATGAAGCTTAACAGTAGTTCTGTAGAAACAAAGGTCATGTTACCCAGGCTCCAATGGGACCAAAAGCCCCCCGCCCCCCTCTCCTTTGGAGAGTTTGGAGAGGGGGAAACATTACTCGTAACTGAGTCGTCGTATGTCTCACTGAATTGATAGGATCACGATGACGATGATGAAAGGTCTTGATTTCTAGCTAAGGGACGGGCCTAGAGCCCGTCTTTTATACATGATGAAGACGGCTGCTGCCGGAGGCGGCAGTCCGTCGCCGCCGCACAGGGGCCGGGGCCGTGTGCGTCCCGGGTCCCGGGATCGTTGTCACAGGGCCGGCGATGTGGTCTGAGATAAGAGGAGAAAGAAACGGAAGTCACGCTGTCTAGGAAAGCCGGAAATGAGGTTATCATGCGTCTCAGGGTGACCCCGAAATGTGACATCGTATGTGTAACCGCTACCTTGAGACTCTATAATAGCCAACTTCATCAATTCAAACCCAATCTATTCCAAATTTGAATCCTATATTTGAAGCTGTCATGACTCACAAGTCGATTAAGAAGGCTAATTTTTGGAATTTTGACAAGACCCCTCTTCAATTTGGGTGGATTGATGACAGCATTGAGATCTTTTCAACCCAAACGAAGGAAAACACCCGACCTGTTACCTTTTAACCCGGCAATAAAGACTCACTTTCATCAGTAGATGTGAGAAATGCAGCTGGGTTAGCAAAACCTTCCTTTCTTATCTTGACAGCAAAGGTGTGGCCAGAGGAATACGTTATAGCTAACATCAATAAACGGGTGGTCCTAACGCATACATCTTCCTGCTTCAATATCGCACAACGCGTTATAACTCAGCTCACCGAGTAATGTGCCAAAGTCGCGGCGGCGTATATAGGGTCTGAAGATATGACTTAGCCACAACATTATCCATTAATAAAAATACCCCAAATTGGCATATATAAAAATATTTAGAGCTGTGGCTATATCATAGGGTATTTAATATTGAATTTGGCCCAATTTCTGCTATTGCGTTATGTTGTTGAAGTTGCTAGTAGCGGTTACACATGCGACGCAGTCACGGGTAATGTGTTACCACCTCTCCCTTGGAGAGGTGAGGGCGTTTGCTCACTCTACCCACCGGTTACGTAAAGTGATCAGAAGGGTAGTTCAAGACCCTCCGCCACTATGCCACTCTTCTCTCCCCGCTTCCTCCCACCCCCACCCCCGCCCTCTCTCGCGTGAGGGAGGTCACCTCCACATTGCAGGAATCAGCTTTTGGATGGCTCAGATGTTGCACGGCTTAGAAATCCCCCTGCAGCGGGTCTTCTGTTGCATCGTCAATGTCATCATTTCTTTTCACTATATTTGGCGCCGCGTTGTGCTGTTTGAGTTTCAGGAAACACAGAGCTCTCTATGATTGATGAAGCAGTCAGTCCTACCACAGTCACACACGCCCGCTCACTCAACCTGATTTGGCCAACAGCCTATCTTCAAACATTTACAAGAACTATCCCTACTTGTTTCAATGAAGGCGTATCGCTGGAACGGTCCAGGAACTGGCCTTCAGCTGCAAGATGTCCCGGTGCCGGAGCCATCCGCCAACGAGGTCTTGATAGAAGTCCAAGCCTGCGGGCTATGCCACTCAGACTGTCACATCATAGACGGCTCCCAAGCCGACTCTGTCAAGAAACGACCGATTACCATGGGCCACGAGGTTGCCGGTAACATCGTGGCCGTCGGACAGGGCGTTGATGAGGCGTGGGTCGGCGAACGAGTTGCAGTGGCTTTGGGCGGCCATCCGATTCGGACTCCCAACACAATTGGACTGCAAATAGATGGCGGTTACGCCGAATTCGTCGTCGTCATGGTCGCATCTCTTGTTCGAATTCCGGAAGACGTCAGTTTTGAACAAGCCGCCGTCGCTACGGACTGCCTAACTACCGCCCACCACGCTGTTCGAGGTGCTGGAGAAGTTACTGCCGGCATGAATGTGGCCATTATCGGGCTAGGCGGACTTGGTTCAGCCGCCCTCCGTGTCGCAGTTTTGGAGGGTGCAAACGTCTACGGTGTCGACATCGACACACGCAGGTTCCACAAGGCAGGCGTGGACGGGGCGAAGGCATGTTTTGCTAAACTTGAGAAAGTACAGGATGTTGTATTCGATGTCATCGTGGACTTTGTTGGGAAGAGCTCGACTATGAACGCTGCGCTTGGTGCCATCAAGTTCCGCGGTAGAATCGTCCTTGTCGGCTTGGGAGAACCCACAATCACCGTTTCCACGTTTGCAATCATATGGAACAAGGTTGAGATCAGGGGTTGCTTGGGCGGGAGTATAGAGGACCTGTCTAATGTGCTGAAACTGATTGGAACTCGCAAGTTGGAACCAGAGCTGGAGGAGATCGCATTCGATCGTGTCAGCGAGGGTCTACACCGCCTGGAGACTGGGGATGTACTTGGGAGGCTATTCACGCGCCCAGGGAAACTGTCCAATTAGTGTTTCATAGGAACTACATCATGTATAAGCTCCATTTTAACTGAATCCTTTCCTCCCTGGCTGTTCCTGTCAAACCCACCTTAGGGCTATGATATGACCCATAAGGGTAGCAAACTCTAGAGCGGACTTAGAAATGAGGGAGACCAGCGGAGCCGGTAATACGGCCGGCCACTGTATTTGTAGGGGACCGTACTGCTAGCTACTGCTAAAAACCACCTTTGTATTTCGCTGTATCATGACTACCTCTGTGATGAGCGTTAACCGTTCCCTAGTGCACGGTTTTGAGACTATTTGGCTGTACGACTTGAATAAATATTGAAGAAAAGAGCTTTATCTAATCAAAAACCATCTTGTTGGAAATCTTGCCAAGTCCCTCAATCTCCACCTCAACAATGTCCCCATTCTTGAGAAATTGTTTTTGAAAGAAGCCGACCCCTGATGGCGTTCCTGTCATGATGACGGTCCCACTTCTCAGAGTCCTTCCACGAGATAAATGAGCAATAATCTGCCGAACCGACCATATCATGTCACTCGTGTTAGTGGCCTGTCTCACCTCCCCGTTCACCCTCGTTGTCAACTGGAGGCTCTGCGGGTTGGGGACGCATTCAGTCGACCAAATCGCAGGTCCAATCGGGGCGAAGGCATCGAACGATTTTGAAAACCCAAATTGCCCTCCCGCCGCGTCCTTGAGCTGGAAGTTGCGAGCAGAAACGTCATTTCCAACAGTGTACCCCAATACGTAGTCGAGCGCTTCTGATTCAGAGACGTTCTTGGCATCACGGCCGATAATCACGGTCATTTCACCTTCAAAGTCCATCATTGGATGAGCGTCTGGATGGATAGGAATATCATCCGAGGGCCCTGCGAGTGTATCTGACGGCTTGCTGAAGAGTACCGGGTAGCTTGGCACGGGCATCTAGATTGGCCCGTCAGCTAGGAAGCCAAGATTAACCCAGTTAAACGTCTACCCACCTTAGCCTCGTCGGCATGTTGACGATAGTTGACTCCAATGCATTGAACAATAGGTGTCCGCTCGAGTGGGCAGAGGAGCTAGTAAAGTCAGCTGAGAAAGAACCCTTTTGCATACCCTGGCAATGATGGTTACCTTCTTCACCGTTATTGGCTCGGCGTTGGCAGTACTAAAACCGTCGGCGATACTGCCATTGAGCTTGGCCACTTTGAAGCCGTCGTCAGAGGTCTCGAGCAATTCACCGTAGTGAACATTGTCATCCTGTTCGTATCGAACCAGCTTTTGAAACCCCATTGTATGCGTGCTAATAATTCGTACCACGGAGGTGATCTAAAATGAAGTGAAAAATGGGTGCTTCAATAAGAAAGCCTCCGGCCCAAGCGGTCAAACGCGGGGTGGGATAGCGATGTGGGTGAAGACTCTGGATGTGGGGGTATGTGGGGGTTGTGTGGGTGCAGGAGGAGTGGGAGAACTCGCTCTCCGTTGAACGGACGAGGCCATGCAATGGGAAATATGCCCTTAAATCAAATCCAGTATTGATTATTGAGGACGCCGGATTAAATGCAGAAAATGAGAAATCAACCCAAGTTTCAAGCCCAACAACTTAACAACATTGATACGGACACAACAAAAGCCACGATGCAGGCCATGGAATCGTCTTTCCAAGTCGCCTGTGACGATGGAAACATACCCGGGGCTGTACTTGTGGCCACGAACCGTGATGGCAGTTTCGACTATGCCAAAGCTTTCGGCTTCCGCTCGCTGGAAGGGGACGTTAAGCCGCGTTGTGAGGTAGACACCATCATGGGGCTGTTTAGCGCTACCAAGTTTGTCACCACAATTGCCGCGCTACAACTTGTGGAGCAAGGCCTCGTCAGTTTAGACGATGACACGTCCGATTTAATTCCGGAGCTCGCACGTCTGCCGATTCTAGCTAGTATGGAGGGCGGGAAAGCAGAGCTGCGAACTCGGCGCAACCCAATCACCCTACGGTATTACACGCGTCCAGACAGTTACAGCAAACCGTCTCACGACAGCTAGCTGACCATGACTTAGGCATCTTCTGACCCACTCCTCTGGCCTGGCCTACACGTTCATGTCCGCCACCTTGCGCGAGTACCAGGAGTCTGTCGGGAAACCTGCATTTGCCCCCCCACGAGGTGTAGTTGAAAGCTATAACACACCCCTCGTGTTTGAGCCTGGAACATCTTGGACCTACAGCACAGGCTTGGACTGGGTAGGTCTCCTAATCAGCCGCGTCTCTAAATTGTCTCTGGAGGAATATTTCCAAAAGAACATCATGGCTCGCCTAGACATCAAGGATATTACTTTCTGGGTAGACAAGCATCCTGAATTGAAGGATCGCTTGGCCAGTTTATCCATTCGAGATCAGTCGTCGACTGAAGTTAGTGCCGGTAAGGCCATTCATTACAAGGGCCCCAACATGATGATGGCAGTCCAAGAAGAGTTTGGTGGCCAAGGACTCTACGCCTCTATGTCGTCATACCTCAAGATCTTAAAGAGTATCCTGGTGAACGACGAGCAACTTTTGAAGAAGGAAACCACTGCGATTATGTTTGAGCCTCAACTTACAGCAGAAAGTCGTGAGGCGCTTCAAGCCGTGTATCAGAATCAGCCCTCTACTGGCCCTTGCAGCATTGGATCTTTCCGTCCTGATATCCAGTACAACTGGGGCCTGGGCGGATTGTTGTCAATGGAAGATGGCGACTGGAGGAAGAAAGGATGTATGAACTGGTCGGGAATGCCGAATTTGTTATGGGTATGTTACACTCCAGCAATTGCCTGGTGATTCCGAGACTAACACGCAATTTTCACTTGCCTAGTTCATAGACAGAGAAGCTGGCCTATGTGGCGTTTATGGAGGGCAACTGATGCCAGCCGGTGATGTAAAGGTCAAGGAAATGATCAATTTGTTTGAGAAGACTATGTACGGACTTGGAGAAAGAAAGTCGTCGCTCTGAAGAATATGATTTTATTGATTCCGAATTCGAGATTGCCGACAGACTTGTCAGTTGATATGCTTGATGCACCGCACGTTGAATGCCGCGGGTGAGGCCACAGGGTCGTAAGATCTATGCAGAGATTTATCATCAAAAGATAGCTTGATGGCATAAATCGGTTCTATGGGAATTGAGATCGAAATTTACAGAAAAATGGTTCTGGTTCTAACATATCAATTGAAACACTACAAGTATGTAAACAGCAGCATTTTCCAATTGCTAGCATATAGTTCACGTAATGATCGTGGGGAAAACTTCAAGGCTTCAGAATGGAAACATCATCATATCGTGGACTAACAAATATATATTGTATTCTAGTCTGCGTTAATCGCCCCCATCCCAACCTTTTTAATGAGCTCAGCATGGGCTTGGCTACGTGGTGTGATCTTGACCGCAAAGGGAGGCTTGTCAACTGAATCCCAGTTGGAGTTTAAAGTATCGATAGGATGGTCCTTCGCGTGGTCGTCGTCAGTATAGCATCTTAACCGCACAAAAGGATGGACTTACTGAGTCCTCCTCAATATCGAAGCAATACAGCAGACAGGCAGCTGCAATCCAGACGTTGTTGGCACCGACGTTGTAACCGACACACACTCGACGGCCTGCGCAGCTTCATCAGCAACCTGCACGTTGTTCCCCAAATCACGTTTATAGGTTATACGATACCTGTACCAAATGACCAATGCCCCTTGAGTGGACTTTTGAGATCTTTGTCCAAGAATCGTTCAGGCATGAACCTCATGGCATCTTTGTAATCGGTCTCGTTCAACGAGAGGGCGTAAGCGTTCCAAGTAAACAGGGTTCCTGCTGGGAACCGATAGCCCTCGTAGGCATCATCTTGCGTCAATTGGTGCGGAACACCAGTTTGGATAAAGGGGCGCCATCGAAGCGTCTCCTTGACAACTGCCGTGATATAAGGAAGGTTTTCCCGGTCTGCAAAGGAGGGAAGTCGCTCTGCATTGTAACCGCACACTTCATCCAGATGAGCCCTGGCGGTGGCTGCCCACTCGGGGAACGCCGCTGCTCCAGCTACCATTTGCGTGATTGCTGTGCGAGAAGTGTCGCTTCCGGCTTCGAGCAGCGTGCTAAATATCATCAACTTTTCCGTCTCAGTGAGATCAAACTCCTTTTTTGAGGTTCCTTCAAGAAGGGCCGTGGCAAAGCATGGTTTGGCAGTGCCCTTGCTAACTCTGTCCGCAAGAGCGTCCACCTCATGCTGATAGATACTGTTGGAGCATTAGCAGAGAAATGGTCGGCAGATCCATCCGTGACTCACGCCAGTGTACGCTGCAGTAAATCTTCTCCATAAGGGCGCCACCATTGCAAGGGCTTGGGTAGATAATTTAGCCAGGTGAATAGGTCGCAAATATTCTTAGTAGGGCTAAACAGAAGTTCGCCAAATTCTGCCATAAGTTTGAGCATCTTGCGGAGTTGCTCGTCACCTAATTGGGCTCGCCGTCCGAAGATGACGCTCATGATGACTGAGTTGGAGAAACGCTGGTTTGCCGTATAGAATTGGTCTGGGGTGTGAAGATAGTCCCACACCAGCTGTCGGACCTCTAGCTCCTCAAATGGAATGAACTTTGACTCGGCTTGTTGGCCGTTCAGAATGGCATGCATGATCTTACGCTGGGTTCGCCATCTATTAGTATGTCCCATGAGTAGCATGCGAGCGCCCCCAGAGGCGATATCCTGTGCCATGGGTCTGTAGGGACGCGACGAGTAAATGGTAGCTCTTTTTTCAAGGAGGTCTGACACGACGCGGGCCGAATTGAGAAAGACCATGACCTTGCCGCCAAGACGACACGTGAACCTAACGTAGTGAGAAGTCAATGTATTGTGTCAAGGGTTAGGCTTGCATACATCTCTCCATGCCTCTTGGCCATTTCATGACCCCACACTCCTCCTGGAAATGGCACATCTAGCGTATTTCCGATGATGGGCCACCCCGGGATCTCTGGTGGTAGCTTGAACTTGGAGTTGAATCGGTAACGAGCCACGACATTCTTGACAAGAAGGATGACTGCCGCGACCAGCAACGCAGTCAAGGAGCTGGATAGAGCCATTTCGAGTGTTGTCGTAACGAGATTTTCTTCAGTCGAACAAGGAAAGAGTTTGAGAATGCTAGTCAGCTGGATTAGAAATCCAAGCCCTGTAAGAGTTTTAAGGTGATCCAAGATCAGAGATGGCGAGCATTCCGACGATGCATCACTAGCCGCGGGGGCATGTGCGACACGCAGTCAGCCACCCCCACATGGGTGTCACGCTGCCTCATTCTAGCGTGTGAAGAAGGGAAGCAAAAGTGGGCGAAAGCGAGCGGGGGATGGATAATAGATGTGGAGGTTCTTGGAGATGTGGAGGGCCTAACCCACAATCAGTCCAGGGTATTCCGCTTGGCCTCAAGCCACGAGCATGCATGGCCTGTTCCCTTGTGATCCGCGGATGCCGGTGCGGCCAACTCCGCGGCATGCTCTACCATTCATTTTGAGTCGTCCCAGGATTGAAATTATTATATTGTTCTATTATCGGCTACTGGTCAGACCATGTAAAGCACAAACATCGGTCACTTGACTGCGTCGTTCTACCCCTCTTGTTACGCATTACCGATTGACTGTACTGAGCCTAAATTCCCAGCTTGCTCAAGAATGGAAGCCCCTGTCGACGTATCAGTAGTCATAGTTGGAGGAGGATGTAAGTGAACCATCTTCCCTCCGCTTTGGAGATATCTGACCTCGTCTCAGCTTGCGGGCTTAGTCTCTCAATCTTCCTTTCCGACTTGGGCGTCGATCATGTCCTGTATGAATGCCACCCCGGGACCTCGATTCTCCCAAAAGCGCACGTCATTAACCAGCGAACCCTGGAGATCTTTCGTCAACATGGCTTGGCTGCCGAGGTTCTCGCCAAGGGTACACCACCCTCCCAAATGAGCCAAGTGCTGTGGCAGACGTCCTTGGGCGGCGACGGTCCCCTCGATAGAAAGGTACTGGGGTCTATCGAAACCTGGGGTTGCAAGCCAGGGAGCGAACGAAGGAGCACCTACGAGTAAGCCTCTCCATTTTGAGAATTAGACTTAAGAAAACGCCGCTAATCGTGGCACAGGCGGTGTGCTCCTCATCTCCCGACCAACCTACCCCTGCTTCGCCTCGAGCCTATTCTCCGGCAGGCAGCAGAGGACAGAAACCAGGGCAAGGTTCTCTTCAAGCACACCGTCACGAGCTTCCATGATGCAGGTGACCATATCGTCGTCCATTTCAAAGATGACAAGGGCCAGCAAAGCACATGTCGAACTCGATATCTCATTGGTTGCGACGGAGGCAAGACAATTGGGCCGCAGCTGGGCATTGAGATGGACGGTCCCACAGGACTGCGCCGAGTCGTCTCTGCGCACTTTAAAGCTGACCTATCACCGTACTGGGACGACCGGACTGGCATTGCTCACTTCGCCAATCCAGAGTTCGGTTTAGGGATGCGGAGCGGCTCTCTGCTTCCCTTGGGTCCGACTTGGGGACGACGTTCGGAAGAATGGCAAATGCATTTCAGTATCGGAATCGACGACCCACAAGTCCCAAGAGAGGGTGTTGAGGACCGTATCCGCAAGTTACTCAAGTTGCCGCATCTTCAGATAGAAATTTTGAGCTTCAGCAACTGGGTTCTGGAGCGCGTGTTGGCTCAAAAATACCAGCAAGGCCGCGTCTTCATCGGTGGAGATGCAGCTCACCGTCACCCTCCAACGACTGGGTTGGGCCTCAACACAGCAGTCCAGGACGCTCACAATTTGGCCTGGAAACTCGCCTACACTCTGCAGGGAAAGGCATCTCCAGCTCTCCTCGAGACCTACGAGCTCGAACGGCTTCCCATTGGGAAGAGAAACTGTGACTGGGCCTTGTTCACTTCCAGGTGTCACGCATTCATCGCCACTGCAATTGGCCTGGAGGAGGGACAAAAGGAAGCTAACAAAGCTCGTGTCAGCCTACTCTTAAATGAGAATTCAGAAATCGGACGGGCAGCTCGTGCGCAGCTCCAATACATCATCGACGGCCAGGCCATCGAATTTGGCGCCCACGAAATGGACCTTGGCTTCAGCTACCAGCCAGGAGGTGCTTTCGTGCCAGATCAAGCCGCTCCCCTTACTCAGCACCCTCGACATCAGATTTACACGCCGACCACACGGCCTGGCCACCGCTTACCGCACGGTTGGCTGGAGCGCGATGGAAAAGTCTTATCAACTAACGACCTCGTCGGCCGCCATGGTGCGTTTCTTTTGATCACGGACAGAGAAGGTTCGGTCTGGGTTGATGCGGCCCGACAGGCAGCAAAATCTAGATGCATCAGACTAAAAATTGCTCAGATTGTTGAGCCCTTGACAAGGAGACAGGAAGAAGAGTACTGTGACATAGAGTCACAGTGGTCACAGGTCAAGGAGATTAAGAACGGAGGCGCGATTCTTGTCCGTCCGGATAATATTGTTTTCTGGAGGTCCGTGAATCCAGAGCTTACAGTCGACTTGTCTGCTGTTTTTGATAAAATTCTGGGTTGTCCGTGGCATAACCATAGCTAGGGTTTGACTTGGAGAGTGGATGGAATTGTACGAGCCAGTAAACCCCTAGGATATTTACGTTATCTATCTATTGGAACCTGAGTGCTTCATTGTATTGTTCGACCAGATTACCAAGAACTCATTGCTTCTCTTCAAGCATTTGTTCTCAGTGAAGTCAATCTTGTACAGACGATTTGCATCGGGTCCATTGCGCAATAATTTCGACTCTCCTTTATTAACATCGCAGGTCATTGTGTGGTCAACAGTCACGGTTATTAGCACAATGACCTGTGGAAGTAGACAAAACATCTAAGTCAACAATGCTATCCCACCGATATCCCAAAACACAACAAGTAATACACTCAGGATAATTTGGCGGGCAGATTTGGACTCTTGGGCTAGGTGGTTGCTAGCAGGGATGTAATAGGGATAAGTAGGGGAGGAAGCTGCACACAGCTTCTAGGGACATCATCTTCCTTTCTCATCAAGAGACATTCTAGAGATTTCAGTCTCAATTGGAGGCTGTATCTCTCTCAAGAGACTAATTCTGTTGCTAAGAGATTTTACCCTTCCATTCTAAAGGTCCCTTCGTGCCTATTCTTACATTTTATCGATTCCTGTCCAACCTCTGTCTTCGACCTCGCCAGATATTGACCCTGCAATGCGATCAATTGATGCCTTGCCACTGTCCTTTATCGCAACAAGGTCAATATATCATCTCACGAGATGCTTCGCTATCTAGTGGGCCAAATCACAGACCTGTCGGACCTCATACGCGTAGTCGGGTGCAGCTTCGGGCTGACCTCACAAGACGCCTGCGGCGACACATCTCTGTGCATCACCACTCTTTAGTGAGGTGGTCGAGTTGGGTGTTGGTCTCGTCCCTTTCCGCCGCTAAAATAAATACGTCAAAAAAGGAGTCTCTTTGCTACATAGAGAAGTACGGGGAGAAGACTAAGGCTTGTGAAACAACGTGGATCCCCCGCCAGATGTGCATGTTGCTCACACAGGTTCCTTATGCGAGTGTTGTGCATCTTTCATTCCAAAGGTTCCATCAGCTCATCATGCCTCGCCTTGCTAGTACTTACTTCGTCTTGAGAGGCAAGTTCCGAGGTGGTGTCAATCCGTAGATAGGGAGAGGCGTTCCGAGCAACTTGGCCTTGATTTGAAGGGCAATGAAGCGAGACATGTATCGGGCTTGACCAACCGCACCCCCGTGGTACCAAAATGCAGGATCTGGCACATATGTGTCAGTAATAATCAGGAATATTCCAAAGCCAGAGTGAACCTACGTCCGCAAGGCTTGAAGGCTCCCTTGAGCTCGCCCTCATCATCTAGTCCCCAGAAATCGTCGACTTGCGAGGCAACGCTAGGGCCGAACAGATCTTCAACAACCAGCCGTAGATTGCCTACGAATCCCGTAGCAAACACCACCACGTCTGCTCGGAGAAAGGTACCATTGGCACATTCTAGACCATCCCCTGTAAAGCGAATCGGGAGAGAATCGGATTTCATCTTGATCTAAGAGTATTAAATTAGCTTCTTGCTGGTCTCAGAATACTAAGCAAGAGAAAATTTACCAGCCCACTGGCAATCTTGGCAGAGGTTCCAACATCCATGTAGTGGCCCCCGAACCGCTGGAACAAGTAGTAGGATATATCTCCATCCCGATCGAGCAGGAATCCCGCCTTCTCTAGGGCGTCGAATCGTTCAGGCTCCTTTCTGGCTTTGGCGTGCAGCGAACGAGAACCCATGATCCGACCTAGTACAGCTGGGCCTGAGAAGAACAAGCGGTCGGACACGGTGGTTGGAATAGATTCCTTGTACACTCCTATAATTTTTCAACACTTAAATCATCGTTAGGGCTTGCGGTGGATCTTACTATCGTGGGTTTCCCTGTAATGCTCGGCTGGCACCACATCTGTGTCACTTAAGTCAGCCGGCTGTATTCCCACCAAGCCCGCCTACAAGTACTGACAAGTCTTGGATCTCTGAACCATCGTTACCGATGCCATCCCAGCTTGGAGCATATCTTCTGCCACGTCGTGAGCTGTTGACGTTAGCGATCTCCTCCTGACTCTAGTAGAGTGAAGTGTGCAAACCGGTATTGGCCGTCCCGACCACAACTCCATGTTTTCCTTTCCAGCCAGAGGCATTTTTGTACTCTCCAGAGTGAAGGGTAATACCACGGAAGATGTCCTGAGAAACAAAAAAGAGCGACGTCAGTTGATTGCTGGTCATGAGTAAAAGAGCGACATCTGACCTTATTCTCATAGGTCGGCGACAGGGGAAACTGGGAGTTGCCGCCGACAGCAAAAACAATGTTGCCACCGCATACAGAGGACTTCTTGCCATCACGGAGTAACTCCAATCTCCAAGTCTTCTCTTCAGTGCTCCATGTTCCGGAAGTGACAGTGGTGGAGAGCCAAACATTCTGTTGTGAGGTTAGTTTGAAGGGTAAATTGTAGAAGCATACTTACGATGTCATATTTGCTTGCCCATTTACGATACCCAGAAGCCAGATCATCCTTAGGCAGGAATTCTGGATACGAAGCAGGGAATGTACGCTCAAAGGGCAGATGAGCTGTGCTACATTAGCAGCTGACCTACAGGCGCACAAAGCTTCTCAAGGCAGATCTTACCAAACTCCCGAACCGTGTGCACTTTTTGTGTTAGCGAAACATTCCCCAATGCCAATAAAACGAGGAATGAACTGACATTTCGTAGAGTCATATCTTGTCTTCCAATTATCCCCGACATTCTCATGCTTATCCAGTATGACGTACGAAACCCCTAAAGCCTTGAGTCTCCCACCAACGCTTAAGCCCGCCTGGCCGCCGCCAATGATCAAGCAGTCGAAATAGTCTTCGTGCCCGTAGCTGGTAGATGTTTCGCCGTTCTGGTGCAGATGAGGTTGAACACCGTTGGTAGCAAGCTCACCACGGGTTCTATGCGTCTCACTGACGCTTTCGGTATTGGCCGGTTGGAGAACATCCACATCCGGGTGTGATTTGAGTTGCTCGAGGATGGTCCGCAGCTGCCATATTCTCCACTTCCCGTCTGATTCAGGCACTACGGATATGTACCCGTAACCAATAGTGGCCGGAATTCCGTTTGTCTCAAACGTGAAACTCATTTCGACCCAAGCAGACGGTCCAGCCTGGATGACACGAGGCTCCCCATCAATGACAAACTTGGACGGAAGGTGAGTTGAAGCAGTCGCCTGCCATGCACCTGCAATCGATGATGCCGAGTAAAATGTTCTGAGGGTTCCAGTCATGGCAAATAGATCTCGCCAAATGGCCCCCTTAACAAAGTGCTCCTCTTGCACATCATTGAACACCAGCTGAAAATGTTCAACCAGCGACTTGAGGTCGATGAACTCGGGAACTGTGGCCGTGGGGAGCTCACAGGGTAGGTTCGGAAGTGGCCACATGATGATCGGGATGGAAACGACTTGTTCTGCTTAAGGAGCTTGATGATAAATATTTGTGCTCTAAACGCCTCTATAAATGGTATGAAGCTGATCATATAGTTGTGTTTAGCTTCCAGTGTCGGGCCACAATCCACGGCTGCCAGCAAGTATACACACTTCCTCTCTCCCAATCGTCCCACCTTGGAGCTCCTACCTTGGAGCTCCGCACCGAGCCTCACCTCGTCTTGCATATCCCTCGGGATAATGCAAGGTGGAGTAAGTGTATGTGGAGGTCCTGCCTAAACCCCCACATGACGCCAGATAACCCTCCGCTTCCCCGCAAAGCATCTACCACTCGACCTAGTAACCGCCAGGATCAGACTAGACGTTTCTTTTCATACCTAGGTCCCAGATTGCAGTTGTTGATCTCATGACCAACTTTTGTCCAACGATTTCCAAAGCTGCACTGACTGCTGTGGCCCGTGTGTCTTCATAGTTCTCATGGCAACACTGGAATTCCTATCCGAGTTTCGGATCCGCGAGGGCCAGAGCGATGTGCTCAAGGCTCAATGGTATATTGTCGCGGTTTGTCCATATCAATTCAAGTATAACGACAAAACTTAGCTAACGTGAAAAGGCTTCTGCTCTGACAGCAGCCTGTGCCGGGGAACGTGTGGCTGAGCTGTATCAATTTGTCACCAAGGGTCTCCCCTTAGAGTCTAGAAAGCTTGTTCAAAGAAGAATCAAGGAGGCTTTATTGAAAGGTTCCATTCTATACGGAGTCCCGCGTGCTGCCCAGGGACTCGGACCTTTGTTTCGGTCACTGCCCGAGGATGAAATTGATCTCTTTTCCCCCAGGTAACCAGTTTGTGACCCAGACTATCGGCATCCCGACTGACTCTTGTCCTTTCTGCTCTCCTAGAACTGAGCAGATGAACTCAAAGGATTACGAACGAAAGAGGGCCGAAAAGGCCAAGCGGTACTTTGATGTGCTCTGGGGTCCTGTAGCAGCCCAACATCAGCGAGAGAGGGTATTAAAGTATCACCCAGACCACTGTGAGTGCGGTTGGAATCAACTGAGTAATCGGTAAATTATGAATCCCACGCTAATGACATAGACCTTCTGAACGTCAAGACGAACTACGAGCTCTGGATAAGCGAAGATGCTATTCTGTCGAATATCGAGACACAGATGTGCACCACAGCCCTTCTCATATGTAACAATTCTCCCGAGCAGGCGCTGTGGCATGTACGAGGGCTTCTACGTCACGGGGCAACAATGGAGCAGGCAAAGTTTGCGCAGGACCTGGGCTTGGCTGTAGCACATCACTTTGAAGCGAAAACAGGGGAGGTTACGAGGGTCGAAGATGTTATTCTGTAGAGGTCCGATGTGTAATACCAAACACCTCTTCAATGTAAATTCTTGGTGCAATTGGCTCTCTCAGAGGACTTATCCAAATTAGCCCCGACAGGACGGACGAGAGATGACGGACTCAAAAGTGTAATGTTCGGCTTCGCAGTCATTTTTCAGAAGCAATCAAGCCACAACAAGCAGTTTCAAAGACGACATAAATATTCTTGTAACAAGTTGTCTCCTATTTGGTATATGCATGAACACATCTCGCACTCTTTACCAATGTGCTGATAAGCCGAACTCTGTTTCTCGAGGATTGAATCTCCGCGCCAGGAATAACCGCGATTGGAATAGGAGAGACTCCATGAATCGAAGGGGGGCCAACTCAAACCACAGGCGCTTTGGCAACAAGTCCACTGCGTTTCTTAATGGATGCGTGATTCTCTCCCAATTTCAAACGACGGACCAAATCTTCCGGATCAAACTCCGTGCCCACGGGGTTGGCCTTGAATTCAGGCGACGACATATAGGCAGTAGCTTCGTCATTGTCCTCGAAGGTGTCAACTTGCGTCTCGATTTGATTACCATCTGGGTCGGTATAGTAGATGGAAATTGTGATGCCGTGGTTGACACACCAGGACGGCATAATCCCGACATCCTTGCGTTGCTGGTAGGCCAAGGCCAAGTCGTCAAGAGTCGAAAAACCGAACGCTATGTGTTCGAGCCCTGCGCTGGTCTTGATCTTATCTCCCGTTCCAGGCAGTGCACAGATGGCAACGCGGTGATGCTCCTCGTCGAAGCAGAGGAAGGCAATGCGTTCGGACTCGAAACGCGCTTCCGCACCGAGAACTGTCTTGTACCACGCCACCATCTCCTGAAATCGATTGGTTCGGAGGAAGACATGCGCGAACGAAGTTGGCCGCAACACCGTGCCCAAGTTAGGTTCAAAATTAGCCATTGTCCTGGCGTTGCGTTGTCGTGACTAGAGCACAAATGTGAACAATGTAAAAAAGCTTGTCTTGGTTGTACGTTATCCCATAAGTTTCAGCATCATGTGTCTAGCGTGCTCAGTTTTATGCCGAGAGTAGCAAGACTGAGAGGAATTCTCACAACTACCGGTATCCTTGCCTGAGGACTGTGGGGGGAAGGATTTGAAGCATGGATGAAGCGGGGGATGACATGACATGTGGATGGGCAATGTGGGATGTAGGTATGTGGGGATCGGCTTGTGGACAGGCAGTGTGGGATTTCGATGGGTAATGTGGGATACGGACGGGAAGTGTTGGATGTAACTCGACATCCCGTGGCCTCAATTTATGCCCTTGTAGAAGCTTATCCATGTTATGAAGCCATGCTAAAACCAAGAAGACTGCATCAGTTTCTATAGTGGCTATCGCAACAAGCAACCAGCACTATAGCTTGAAGACAACATGGCACAGCATCCCACTGCAATTGTAACGGGCGCCGCCGGAGGCATCGGTCTCTCTTACGCCAAGCGACTCCTCGATCGCGGTTACCGGGTTGTGTTGGCAGATCTGAACACAGATCGAGGGACAGAATTGGAAAAAGAGCTGGGCTCCAATACTTTGTTTGTCCACTGCGATGTGGCCGATTGGTCTTCCCAAGTGGCTCTATTCAAGGCCGCGCACGAATGGGCCGGTCACATCGACGTCTTCATTGCAAATGCCGGGATTGAGGAGGATGAGCCGTTCTATAGCCTGCCCGATAATGACGGTGAACCCGTCAAACCAAGCATGAAAGTATTGGACGTCGACCTCCATTCCGTCGTGTATGGTCTACGACTATTCCGACACCATATGAAGAAGTCAGCTGTGGGTGGAACCGTTGGAAAGATGATTGTGACCAACAGCATGGCCGGGCTCTATGAATTCCGAGTTGCGCCTGTCTACAGCGCCGCAAAGCATGGGGTATGTCGGTTCATTCGAGACTGTTGTTGTCCCCCACATTAACAGAACGACAGGTTATCGGATTACTCAGATCCGCTTCTGAGAAGCTCAGAAAAAACGAATCCATTTCACTCAATGCCATCAGCCCCGGCCCAGTCAATACCTCAATCAGTGACGTTCTCAAGGAGGTTGTTCCCACAGAGCACTTCACCACGATGAGTGTTATCCTCGACGCACTCGATAAGATTCTAGATGAAGACATCACAGGGCAGGTTTTTGAATGTTCGAGTCAGAAATTCTATTTACGGGAGCCGGTGGAATATTGTGACAAGAGCGCCGAATTTCTTCTGCAAGATATGAAGCGGTTCTAGGTCATCGCCGGGTCAACTACATCAAACAAAGCATGGCCAGCTGTTTTGGTATAATATGTTTCCCAGTATGGATATCTCTAATGTATTTGACTTGTAGCAAGTGAAATAGAGAATGTATAACTGGTTTAATATTCTCTTTAACTTGAGAATGGCTTCTAACTTCTTCAGTCTAACTGGCTTTGTTAGAAAAAGGTTAATGCGGCTGCTAAAGACTTTATTCTGGGAATTCTCCGAGGCCAGCTTGAAGAGTACTGAAATTAGTATTGGCTTCAGTTGGTTTATTCCGACGTGTCACGGCCGGAGCTAGGACGAGACACAGACAGTTACGTAAGAACCACCATGACTGTTCGCCCCAACTTTCACTTCGATAGTCTGCGCCTACCCTATACCTCCTGCCCCAGCAAGCACGGGAGTTACATAGATGTACAAGTCACCGTCAGCCCGGCCACGATAAGTAAGAAATAAGAGGGTTGGGTATTATAGCCTCGAGGGCAGAATAACACACACATTATTATCAGAGTTATTGCAATTCAAAATTCAAACAGCAGCCATAACACTCTGTTAGCAGGCGTTTGAGTTCTGTATAAAAAGCATAAAAATCAAATACGGCCTTGATAGTTAATGGATGGGACAGCCGGACTAGCTATTGAAGTGGGTCAGGCACACGGGGAATACCACCACTGTAATTAGCTGTACGGATACTGTTAGCTTTAGCTACTGCCAAATGCCACTTGATGCATCGCTTTGAGTCTGACCGACTGTGACCTCCGGCAATCATCCCCCACATGTGAATCGGGAGCGGGGGCGGGGGCGGGGGCGGGTGGGGGTGGGGTGGACTTCCGTGCCGAAGGCCAGGATATATTGGCCCCTACAGAATGTAATGATGACCCTGTGATCCAAAAAGGCCTTACCATTGTTTACACGTCATCTTCAACTTCAACAAGTCTTCTTGTTTGCGTTTGGCGCCATGGCTAGCACACGTGAGCCAGACTCACATTCAAAGCTAGAGAATGAGGCTAATGATTCGAGCTAGAGAAAATCCGGACAACCATCACCGATCTGTTCCAGATCCCCCACCCAGTATTGCTGGCTGGTATGAATGTTGCCGCGGGGCCAAAGCTAGCCGCAGCAGTAACCAACGCTGGTGGCATGGGTGTACTCGGAGGCATTAGTTATACTCCTGCCATGCTACGAGAGCAAATCGATGAGCTCAAATCTTTCTTGGTCGACAAGAATGCTCCGTTTGGGGTAGACTTGTTACTGCCACAAGTCGGCGGCAACGCCCGAAAGACGAAGTAAGCCGTGGTAACCTTCTATCTCATGCCTGTTGTTTGGGTGCTCACCATCGCATAGCTACGATTATACCAAGGGCAAGCTATCAGAACTCGTTGACATAATTATCGATTCTGGCGCGAAGCTTTTTGTTTCCGCAGTTGGTGTCCCACCAAAGGCCATCGTTGAAAAGTTACACAATGCTGGTGTCCTATACATGAACATGGTCGGCCATCCAAAACATGTGAAGAAGTGCCTGGACCTCGGTTGTGACATCATTTGTGCTCAAGGAGGCGAGGGTGGTGGCCACACAGGAGACGTGCCCACCCTGGTACTTGTCCCCGCTGTTGTGGAAATCTGCAAGAGGCATATATCCCCTGCAACAGGTCAGCCAGTGCCAGTCATTGCTGCTGGTGGTATTTACAACGGGAAGTTGCTCGCAGCCGCCTTGATGATGGGTGCAAGTGCCGTATGGGTTGGCACGAGATTCATCCTTACCGAGGAGGCTGGCGCCTCCGAAGCGCACAAGGAAGCCGTCCGGACAGCCGGATTCGACGATAATATCCGCACAATCATCTTCACAGGACGGCCGTTGCGGGTTCGCAAGAATGCCTATATCGAAAATTGGGAGACCAATCGCCAGGAGGAGATCCGCGAGCTGACATCGAAGGGAGTCATTCCCTACGAAGCAGACCTGGACAGAGCGGAAAATGAGGCCGCACAGGACGACACGAAGGGTTCGCTGGAGCTGGACACTTTATTGGAACTAGGTCAGCCGTTTTTGATGGGAAAATGTGCCGCAGTAGTCACCGAAAAGAAGGCGGCGAGGGAGGTGGTGGATGCATTTGTAAACGATGCAGCCGAACGGATTCAGAAAGGTGGCGAGTTTTTAGTCAAGTTGTGAGCGAAACAGGCTCATGACTGTGGACTATCTACTAGCATCATGTATTTCACTGGCGGTGGCCAAAATTCTAGTTCCGCCTCTTCTCACCATCAACTTGTTATTTTCCTCCGAACTTGTTTAACATTGAAGAGAGAAAGAAATCCACGGTGAAGCAAAGGTTATTGAATCTTGAAGTTTTGTGACCTGTGAGGACGCAGAATACACCTCGAGGAATGTCCCTCCTGGATTAAAATACCCAATTCCTTGGACGGTAAGCCGAAGACTCCATGTCATGTCACGCAGTGGGTCCTCCCAGTCCGGGAACGCCGATTTAACATATGGTTCCTTATTCTAATCAGCCATCTGCACCCTTGAGACTGACCATTTAGACACTGGTTGCAACTGAAGTGAGATGGTTTGTCATGGCCAGGTTGTATTCAAGCCGTACTGCTGGCTGTGCTTTGTACAACAGGAGTTGTTGCCCGAAGGCGTCTTGGTTTGATTATCGAGCAGCCCTGCGTGAATGTAGCCTATATAATGTGTTGGATTAACCAGCTGAGCTATTTTAATCAAAAGTTAAGGATGCTCCCAGTATTATTATAGCCAGTGTTAATTAGGTCCATAATCCAACAGAACGTCGTCTTGGTCCATCCCACAATTGGCCTTCTCCACACACACTACCCATCCATGCACACACCCCGGGCTCCGTCACCCACATCCATCCACTTGCCATGCTACGCTCAACTTCGCCCCCTGTTGCGGCAGCTTGGCAAAGATGACATGCAAGAAAGACAATGGAGTAATGTCTTAGACCTCGGACCCAGCTAGGCTTACTATATACTTCTACGTATGTCCTGTACTTGCTAGGGCGAAACAGGTATAGACCGTACTCCGTAGAATCCTTAGGAAGGAGTACAGGAATGTGCCCGGGCTGACCGAAAGGTAACCTTATCCGAGGGTCTTGGCGACCGAGGCCCCCACACACACATTCCTTTGACACCCCCACTTCAACCCCTTTTTCTGGGGAACGGAGAGAAAGGGTCCCTTCCAAGTGGTGCCCACGAAACCCACACGAGCTGAGAACACAATGAACCCCCTGTAGCCGCATGAGGATCATCGCCGCAAGGCTCCTTTAAGGAACAAATTCCAAGTATCTTCCAACCGACTCTCAGCCCCCCTCTAGCAGAAGCATGAGCTATTGGGTGGTTCGTTTCTCGCTTTGATAATTATCCCTGTTGTCAGGGTTCAGTCTGTTACAGGCCCTCCTCTGCTGGCTATCCGTAATGGCTATCAACCCTGGGTTTTTCAATCATCGCTCAAGGCTGTAATGCGTGATGGTTGGTGCTACGATGCCATCTAGTCGCTCATTGGCGCCTGCTGGAGTTGACCTCAGCGAAGACAAGCGACCTCTGATAGTTGCCGTTTCTGTCATGACATGGATTCTGGCTTTTACGACTTTGATGTTGAGAATCGCTGGTCGGAAAATTAAGGGTTTGAATCTCTGGTTGGACGACTGGTTCATTATTGTTGCTTTGGTATGCTCCTCTTGGCCCCTTGGGTCATCCATGGCCGAATCCCCAATATTGACTGTCTCCCAGGTAGCTGCTCTTGCTCATGTTAGTGGGATGGCAGGATATGGTCAGTCCATTGTCTTTGGTCCTATTTCTTCTTACAGGCCGCTTGTCTCTACTGATATTAAGAAACCAACCCCACAAATAAGCTATGATCGCTGACGATCCTAGCTACGAGCCGTGGGGTAGGCCAACATGTCTGGGCGGGGAAGCCTGACGCAACGTACGCATGGGCCCTAGGGCTGTTTATCGCTGAGATTTGTTACACTATCACTATGTGGACAACCAAACTCTCCATTCTGGCTTTCTATTGGAGATCTTTCGGTATCTGGAGTTCGATGAGATGGCCCATTTGGTTGCTCTCGGGTATTGTGAGCGCCTGGGCCATTGCAGTGGTATGCTTGCTTCCTTGCTGGATTAGAGAAATTATCTGATATATAATGCAGTTACTCGTGACGACCCTTCAGTGCTCACCAACTCGAGCCATATGGGCCCAATACGATCCGATCAACCCTTTATCGCCTTCTGACTATCACTGCGATGTCGACCAGATACAATTCTTTTATGGGAATGCTGTCCCTACCATCATTACCGACGTTTTATTAATGATTCTTCCCCTACCATACGTTTGGAGGCTCCATTTGCCAGCGGGTGGGAAACTGGCTCTGTCAGGCGTTTTTCTTGTTGGAATATGGTACGGTACCCCTTGTGATTAACTCCAAGATCGCTGCAACTATCAACAACTTATCACGGACTTGTGGAATACTAACTATTGGGATTTCTTAGTGTTACCATCGTATCTGTCGTTCGACTAGTCCTCCTCCAACCAAAAAATCTTGTTTATCCGGATATTACTTGGAATTTCGTGCCAGCTGGGATTTTGAGTATCGTCGAAGGGAATATTGCCATCGTCTGTGGTGAGTCTGACCAGCCCAAGACATCGTATAAGGCAACCCAATAACATCTAGCTAATTTCTCCCTCAGCCTGCCTCCCCTTTTGCAGACCGGTTTTGAGCAAAATCTCCGTCGGATTCATCGACTTAACACCACTATCACGCAGCAATCCGAAACATGACAAAGACATTAGCCAGGAAGGCACAGGTCGGGTTTTGGACACGTGGGGATTGGAAAGCTATGGCACGTCTCGTACTAACGCAAGAGGTACAAAGCAGAGCATAGAAACCGATGAACGCCCATTCGCGCGTCTTCCAGATGATGGATCAGATCACGGCATAGGGGTGGGGATCAAGCCAAGCTTCATTAAGCTCCAAGATATGAGCACTAATTGAATAATCCCTCAGAGAATCTATTTTATTCTAAACCCTTTGATTGGAGTAGAACACGATTGCTATTCGGTCTGTCAGAGGTCTCAATTATTCTTTAATGATTGAACCTTTATCCATTTGCACACGCTCTCCCGGCTACCAACGCTGACGCGTTATGAGCTAATTTGTGAAGTTGCGTATAAAATATTGTAACATAACACATGAGCGAGCCTGAGAACCATAGGACGGATCGTAAACACAATTGTAAAATGGCAAAGGTCTCCGTTCACAAAAATGAGATGATATCACAGAGTTTAGTTTTAGGGAATAGAACAAGTGACTAAGGTGGCCTAATAACATTGGTTCTCTCAGAGATACCAGCCATAATTTATCATGTTCAGGCATACTTATATTGACTCCTTGCACAATAAGGATTCGAAAACCCGCGTTCAACGCTCGTGATCCTTCTTCAGCAACGTTGACTGCAATCACGGTATTCCAAACTGTTTAAGGTCGAGCTAGAACAAGCCCCTGAAAGCATTAACGAAGGCTCAACCGAGGACCAGATGTTTAGCTTGACAAAAGATAGCTTGTGGAGACGCTGGATTGTCGTCTAGTGCCACTAACCATACTACTATAAACTACTAGTTTTCTAGACCAGCGAGTAACCCAAAACCCTCTCGAGAAAACAGGCGAGCGAAGGCATTGTATATCATTACAATTACCAGATTCAAGATTCGCAATCTGTTGAGTATTAATTTCTTAATCAAGTAGGATCGCGATCTAGAAGATTTTATGCAAATTCGTTGATGATGTTGGATTGACCCCTCACGTGGCAGAATAATAGGTGGATTTGCATAATCTTCTGCTGATGTCCTGACCTTAATCAGATGACCCAAAACCCCTCACAAGAAAAGAGGCGACAACGACTACCCAAGATCAATGCAATCATAGAATTCAGGTCTCATATTGTATTTAGCCGTACGGATTCTTTTAGTTACTGCTGAATAAGGCGTAAAACGGTTCCAGGTTGCAAATCTACAACCTACAGTGGTTGTGTGGAATAGTCCAACAACTCTCTAATAGAAAGGCAATCCACTCTAGATCTGCTTACACTGAAGTAATACGAGCAGTATATTCCCTGTAGCGCCTTATACTTAGCAGGAGCCATATGCTATTCAAGTACAAGTATCACTGACAGGCTAGTGCTGGCGTGTTAAACGACTTGATAGTCTCCTGGGCTTCGACAGGGGCAACAAAAAGCGGCATGCGAAGTTCGACGTTCAGCACGGCGAGTCCTTCCATACATATATCCAGACAATACTATTTGGGATTCAACTTCTGAGCTTGGTTGTTTAGGTGATCGACATGAAAGACTATCACTGGGCTCGAAGTTTACGTTGTTAGCTTGCTTCTTAACTGAATGATGTCTTCCAGGTGCCTCAACAATCGGACATCTTCCTCTTAGACGACACATCCTTCAGCTCACTACCTAATTAAATCAAACATATCTAGACCGTCGGAGTCGAGCATTTTCTTTGCACCTACGGAGTACCACATCGACTGTCAAAAAATGCCCACATCTAAGTATCCACTCGCATCACAACGTATCTATGTAACCCGAAAACCACTGCTCTTTCCCTTTAGGTCTGCTGAGGGTAATTGAAATCCGGCACTTCTACCATTTCCAGAATCTGCTGGTTGCTGTTGAACCAATCCTCGAGCTGCTCTGTGTTGTTCATCCACATCATCGAGTTCGCCCCCCCTTGACCATATATTGCATCCAGAACCTCACTCTGTCCTGGGGGGTATCCGAAAACCGGAAGCCCCTGGTCATCGCTTACTAGGGCCATTTGCTGCTGCTGTCGCTGCCCGGGATCCATAGAAGCGATGCCTAGTGTGTTGATGCATGGGTTACATTCGGCATTCACCCAAGACTGGTCTGCCGGCGGGGTCGAGTTACGAAACTCGACGAACCGGAAAGCCACGGCGTAAAGCACTTGGAATAGACGGTGCATCTTGGCCGCGGCATTTGAGACCATAGGGGCTGATTCTGTGGAATTGACAAAGTTGTAGAGGCTGGTGAGGTCTCTCTGATCCCGAGTCTCGATGACCTGACAGAAGAGAACAATAAACGGCGTGAAAGGAGCGAACATTAAGGTCCTGGGTTCGTGTTAGAACAGTTCTTAAAACGCGTGGAATTTTTTTCATTGCTAGCAATGGATGCATCATTGTCATAGTCTCACTTACCAGTGCACGTAGGAAGGGAAATAATAGGGAACCGTGCTTTCGAGACAAGCCATGTACTGTTGGTGCCGTTGGAGCGTTGCTCGTGCGGCCTCTATGCATTCAGGAACGAAAGTAGATTGAGTACTTTCGGGAGACCGGGTTGCTCGATACGCAAGTGTAAGGAGCGACAGGCGGAGGACATCGTCTGAAAGAGACATAAGCTGTACCATTGGCGCTCCTATTTTCGTACTCGCCTGGTTCAACCATTCTGCCTGGAACTTTTGGATTAGCTGTGGAATCTTTTCAAGCCAAGTCGACTAACTAGGCACAAAACACTTTATCACTCACAGTAACTTCACTTGTCTGTTTTCTGATCTCCTCTAGGTCCCCTGTGATAGCTGCAACCCGGGCCACACGCACATGGTTGGGTTGACTGACAGAGTCCGGACTGTATAGTTTCTCATAGATATCTCCCTGGCATCGGGCGGTTTTGATCCACATGGCAAAAAATGCCGATAGTGGGGTGATGTGGACGTCCTCTATCGACGGCATGGGAACGGATACATCCCAGTCTTGGATCGTCGATACCCGACCTAAGCGAAGGGATAGACTTTTGTCCATGAAGTATACGAACCAAAACAGGAACTGTTTTCGGTCCGATTTATTAGCTTGGTCTTTGAGAGATGATAGTCGATGGTAGCCTAGTGTCTGGCACAATTCGGATGCTTTGGATATCAAAGTCCAAGAGAGCGAGGGTTTTGAGATTTCGATGGCATAATAAGACTGGGGGTGATGTTAGTTCGCAGATGCGTCGGGTAAAAGGCAAAAGGATCGGCTTACCCCCAAGACAAGAGCCGCAATCATAGTCTGGTTGGCGGGTAAGTGTAAGGGTAAGTTACCCAAAGCCGTCTCGACGTTAATACGGCACATTTCGAAATACGACAGGTTCTCTTCCTTGTCCGTGGAACATGATAGTTCTTGAAAAAGATACATCATGCCGATATTGGAAATAATAAAGTCGGCCTCAGAAAAATCCTTGGATACGTAAATTCTGAGACAAATCTCTGAAAAATCATCCAACGGGCAGACATCAAAAATCCAGGTGGCTACATTTGAGTATTTGCCTAGAAGTGGCAAGGACCTATTAGCCCAAGGTGGTCAAGAGAAGGAAACCCAATTTGACGAATGTCGGCGATTATCGGAGAATGGCCTCACCTTTGAATTCGTGGATAAGTGCGACGGTCTTCTGAATGGGTGGCAATTTGATATCTGAAAGTGTAGGACGAGAAACGTAGTTTGCCATGGTATACACCATTTCGGTACCGGCAGTCTGTTGCTTCAGAGCATCGACAATGCAGTGGAGCGAGTCTAGGGACTTGCGCATTTCCAGGTCTGCGCTCTGTAAGGAATCACTCCCGATGACGTTCTGGAGGAAATCTTCGGCGAAGATGGAGTGGGCAGCCAGCGAGGACTCAGCCTCGGCCTCGATGATAGGGCTATTAGAAGCAAGTTGCATGGCGAGACTGAAGGGCGTTGAAGTTGAGGAACCAGATGGCTGAGAAGTCCTGTCTGGTGTAGCATCCTTGCCCTGAGCAGCAAGTTGAGCATTAGCAACCGGTATGGTGGTCTTTATTTCCTCAAGCAGGCGAGTGACTCCTTCGAGGCGGCGATCAATGAGATCGATCTTTCTCTCACTGAATGGCGGCGAGGTGGCCAAGAGTTAGCTCTCTTGGATATATTGACATAATATTGGCAGCAAATGGCGATAATGTGATTCATCACATTGAGACCTAGCCAACGGAATTCCAGACAATAACTATAGCTTGGGGGACTCACTACTGGGCAGACAGAAGGATGCGGGTGCGCTTCTCTTTGGGCCCTTTGTTGGCGTGGGTACAAGCTATTTTGGCGTGAATACAATGGGAGCAAGGAGAATTCCTGTCGCACCGGATCTATACCCAGTTGGTTCATGTTAGCCCAGTACCATACTATGAGGGCTTGACGGGATAGGGATAGATAAGGTGCGCAGACTCTGTGAGCTGGTAGGTGGAGCGGAATGACCGCGAATGAGGGCGAGGTGGTAACTACAATCTATCCACCCTACGCCTATCCATCGCTAAGATGTAGGGGCTGTCTTGGAGAGAGGATAGGTGTGGTACGCAGGAAAACTTTTTTCTGTTGGCACGAGATGACATTCCACATGTACATACCTTGCGCGTCCGACAGGCGTCACACTGCAAAAAAGTAAGTTGTGGGATTTTGGGAATAGAATTAGGAGCATAAACTAACGGCTCGTCGAATAGAGGAGAGGGGTACACTGTTCTGAGCAGAGTCGGAGATTTCGTCTTGGCCGTCGTCTGTAGCGTCGACATCATGAAATTGGGGGTTATTGCCGTCGTTCATGGCGGGACGGGGGCTCGGGGAAGAGCTTCAAGCGTCTAGTTTCCCCGTCTGGCCTCCGCGGGACTCACGTGGGTTTCGATGCGGCCGTAACCTAAGTTTGGATGGCCTATGGCAACCATGCAGCAGCCACGGGTGGGAGCGACGATGCAACGGGCAGATTCAACGCTAATCGGCAAAGATGGGTCGGGGGTTGCGGCAGGATGGAGGGTGGAGGAAGAAATCCCGGAAAACGTGCAGGTCGGCCTCCGGGAAAATATGTCTCTCTTGTAAGATGGCACCCCTGTCATGATATCATTAGCATGACGATCTGCGCATGGCGGCAAAGGCTATGCAAGAGGGTTAAGATCTTGCGGGTGGGAGGGACGCGCGGAACCCCTTGTCATGGCCCTGACAAAGCCAATAAGAATTAAAAAAAAGGTGTGGCGATACGGGTGCCAAGAAAGCTGTATTTCTGAAGCAACAAATCAGGGCGAACGATACTCTGTAGTAGACGGACTATCTGTACAGGGCCAATTGGTTCTATTTGTAAGCTTGCAAGGATCCTCAGCCCCATTCTCGCCCTCTGAAATAGTGACGGAGTGGGTCAGGCTGTTCATTGCTAAATACGCGGAGCCTCTGCTTGCTTGGCGGAAGTCTAAGCCGCGCCTCAGCCACGCTATAGCGCCATTGGCACCACTGAATAAGGTCTAGAGTTTGTTGCAACTGCACCATGCCGTAGTGTTGACTACGAAATCGAATGCGATTTACCCTTGATTGCTAAATTCAGCTACAGCTGTGGATATGGAAGGTCTGAGATGATTTGTGGAGGACTGCGAACAAATCTGAAAGCAAAACATTGGATCGCTAGAACGGACAGGCCAAGACGAAACTAGGAAATCAAGGAGAAAGGACAAAAATAGCGACTTGTACTCTCTTTATAAACTAAATATTAGAACAAGCAACCCAAGTGCCTGGGAAGCCTGAACCAAAATACACGTCCAACGGTCGTAGGTATAAATGCACTCGTGTGGTAACTTGTTTGGGTAGGGGCTAATATTGCGACAGGCAGCAGAAAAATCGATAAATTTGAGACGCGGAATCTCAACAAGTTGATCAACGACATGTCCACAGAATCGATAACTTTAGATCCCCGTGGCGACGTTACGCTACAAGTTACCCTCCCCGGCCACCGCACCGTTGATATAACGGCTTGCTCCCGTGTTTTAAGGAGATTGCTCCCAGCATTTGAGCGTATACTATATATGGATGCAACAGAAGCGAACGTCAACGAGGTCAAAAACACTAAATGGGTCATCAGTTTAACGGGTGATAACCTTAGTGCACTCGTCACATTGCTCAACATGGCGCATTGCTATTTGGATCGGGTTCCAAAGACGCTTTCTATGGACGAACTATACGATCTTACCGTTGTAGCTCATCGCTACGATGCCTCGCAACTTCTTGGGCCCTGGGCTCGCACATGGATGACTGCTATCAATGACATTATCAGAGATACTGGAGTGTTGCAGCCAAAGGCCTTATGGATCTCGTGGGAACTAGGCCAGAAAGAGGCATTCATGATGACAGCCTACCGGATGCTAGTGGAGCTAGAGGCGCCTGAGCTTGCTGACAATGCGGCAATGTATGAGCTCCTGACGCCGCCTTGCTTCATAGGTATTATCAAGAAGAAAATGAAGAAGACACATCGAGTGCTGACTATAAGTTAGAACATCTCAAGACAGCGCGCATTACAGCGATTGATAAGTTGCTAGCTCCGATTCGCAAGAACATCAATAGTCTGCTTGCCAGCGACGAGGACCATCGGTGGTGTCGACACGCAACGTGGATGGGCCCTCGCTTATGTGAATCGATGATACTTGGGTCGCTCATGTTCTCACTCTCAAGGATCGGTCTGTGGCCGTTGCCCGACCCGGGAGATGTCCAAGTCAGCGTTGCTGACCTTTCCGCGAAAATCTCTCGACTGAGGGTGGACGATATAGGGAAGGTCGAAGGAGAACCTCCGGTAGATCATCAAGATTGCAATCCCCAAACATGGATATTAGAAATGACTCGAAATGAGATGCGAGAACTACCGAATTTGACATCCGGCCTTCATCTGGATCATCTAGCAAAGCAGTTTATGAGATTAAACCTTTAGTCTCAACGGATGAAACTTCAGCCAATTCGGCCACTTTTGGGAGGCTGGGGACAATGTTAGAAGCCTAAATTAGAATGCAAGGGAAAGGTTACGGAGCATCTTAGTCCTGAGGCAAACAGAATTATGCCATGTGCCAGAATAGGGTGTTTTCTCTCTCTCTCCTCTTTTTCCCTTTTTTTTTAAAAAAAAAGGGGGGGGGCATAGAACGGTGCTGATGTCGTTCTGATGACATATTCTCAGTGCCAGAAAAAATTAAAGTGTCGACAGCACAACCTTGTGACGACCTACCCATCCATATACTACAGTCTTATCCATACTCTGTTCTGTTCTTGCAGTGTCCAGACGTTATCGCCTTTCATATTCTACACATGGTGGGTAGGTTAGGCAGACTTGCCCAAACATGAGGCCGCTCACCGGCAGTACATATTGGGGAAAAGCAAGGGCTCAGTAGTTGGGGATACGATTGTCCCCGTTGAGATTTGGGTGGCTCTTGTCCGTGCCCTGATCCTTGCTCTGTTTTCAGTCCTTTCCACTTTGAGACAATGCTCCTCGCATTTCCGTTCCGGGCCGCCGGTTCAGCCTTCAGCGACAAATGGTAATTTTCGCTGGGTAGCATCGCTAGAGGCTGGGCGGCGCCATGACAAGATTTTAGCGGGTCACGGCGTGTGTTCATACTTCATAGGTCGGCTTCATGGACTATGTATTACGCGAGTCAACCACAAAATAAGCACGTGCGGGCGATAGGTCTTGGCAGCCAAAAGCTTCGGAAAAGGAGGAACGCACGCCTGAAATAACTACTCAAGGCACGGGTTGTCCATTCTCGGTCATTTGGCCAAGGAATCATTGAACAAGTCGATATCTGGCCAAGCACCAAATATTTCGGGCGCTTCAGCTGCTCAAAACAAGTTGGAAGAGCAGCACAGGTAGCGGCTCAAACACCTCATCAACACCCTATGTCCGCTCCCTCGTCCTCATCGCTATCTTCACCATTGTTCCCGCTCCCATTATCGTCGCTACCGTTGCCAATCGCTGTTGCCAAGGCGCTTGCTGATTGTTCTTATCTCCTGTGGCTGTGGCATTCTTCTGACCCCTGCAGAACACGCTCTCACGCGTCGCGCCCTCATCGTAGACAGTCGGTCAGGTTGCCGATGCCCTGGTCCTGTGCGAGGCAGTAGAGCCGGCAATTGTTTTAGTAGCTCAAGACGTCAGTGTCACCGCAGCACTTTTCCATCATATCCATGTAGTCGTCCCTGTGCGGCATGGCACAAACGACGTCACGGACAGGGGCCGTCGTGGAGGTTGGTGCAGGCCGTTGGGTTCGGCAGCGCACCCCGGATGTCGAGGAAGACATTATGGATGTTTGGTGGATGCATGTTTTTTGCTCCTTGAAATGCAAGCCGCAATGGCCACTAAATTTTAATGGAAATAGATGGAATCGTAGTTGCCGATATTACGATCGAGTGTGAGGAAATTCTGAGTTACCTAACCACGGCCATTCCAAGTTTCTCTACGCATAAGCGGCAGGAGGGTAACCACCCCTGCGTCCCGTGAGTATTCAAACTCGTATTCATGGGATATTAATGGGAATTGTTTATTGCACGCGTCATCTCGTTTTTCTCCCAGTAAGTACAGCCCCTTGCCAAGAACTTTTTTTCGTCATCTTTTTATGCTTTATTCGTATCATTGTTTCTCGGCCCCAACATCTTTCTGCTAACAAATTAAGCCTTAATAAGGTTTCCTAGAATGTTGCTGAAAATTTTCGGCATTTATGAGGCGTCAGTAACCGTATTTCCGTAGGCGTAGATGTCGGGCTCCTAAGGCTGTCAGTCACACAGCAGCGGAGATAGCGGAGCAGCTATTAATGAGTGTCGCACTGAGCGTGCCCAAACAGCCAACCTGATCTGATGAACAGCAGCACCGTGTTGATTGATGTCATCGTCTATGGTGCGGGATGGTCCATCCCACAGATTGACTTATAGCACATAGCCAGATTACCGTCGCGAGTGATAGGCAAAGGAGTGGAGGCAACGACTCATCTAAGGCATGTGTTTCATCATGTTTCATCAACATCGCCACTCGCATTAAAAAGTCGAATTAGTAACATCATTTGATAGAAGAACCCAGAGTCTTTTTCTACCTGCATCCGTTCCCCATAGCTTGGTACGGCAATTACTAACATAGGTGGTGCCTGAGGCCACGACATCATGCCTACCCTGCGATAACGAGTAATGGCAATGGGTCGGCTGCATAGGTAGATTCAATCTTAGTTTTCTGACTATCTTCGGGATCAAACCGCTTCCATTGGTTCGACTGGACAGTTCGAGCCGCAGAGGACTTCTCATTTCGTATTTTAGCATTGCGAAGAAAATTAAATCAGGTTCGTATTCTCTCTCCGCCTTCCAGCGGTGAATATTGTAAACCGGCTTCAGTGAGGGGTGGTCATCAATTCAACCAGGGTCGTCGATTGAGTTGAGACATGGCTAGCACGGACTTCTGTATGGCACGCGCAGGATCGCACAGCTCACATGTCATCTTTTGTCCACCAGAGGCACGTGTCCTGCTCAGCTTACCTGAAGAGATGAGGCGGAGCGCTGCGATGAGGCGAAGCGCTGTGATGAGGAACCTTATCTTAAAGAGGGAATCAAAGGGCATGTTATAATCTCGCCAAGTGCTGCGGCACTACATCTCCATAGATAGCTTGAAATTGACGATTGCGTCAGTGAATGAAAAGCTGCACTGATGAAAGCTAAAATGGGAACTTCCACTTTTTGGTTACACTTTGTCTTGCCAGCAAGCTACGCAGGTGCTTGGCACGAACCCACCAAGATTGAACGGGACAGTCGACACCCCATGAATCGGATCATAGCGTAGCGGTTCTATGTGAACTTTTTCTGTTGCTAAAATAAGCTTTTTTGTTTATTTAGAATATGAAAGAGGTAAGAAGTTAAATAGAATTTTCTAAGTTAGAATATTTAGAAGAAATAGCTTTTTTTAAAGTTTTATAATTAATTTATGGATATTTAAAATCTCTGTTTTTTTCCCTCTTTAAACAGATCTTAAATTAACTAATTAATATAATTAGTTGTTATTTTATTTAACGTATATAATAAGCAAGCGCGCAGTACAAGCAAGTATACACCTTTACTCCCAACTACTAAATTTTATCTTTTAACTTAATTTTCTTAACTACAAATTATATCATTCTTAATTAATAAGGCAAATATTAATCTTGCTCTTTAAGCTCTTAAGAAAAACCCTTAATTAACTCTCTTTTATACTTTAAAGATCTATAAAGTCTCCTACTATACTCTAGAATGCTAATATAATAGTATTTCTTCCTGATGCGATATTATATCTAATTTAAAAAAACTATCTAATTTAGAAGAATAGATTATTATTTAATTTATTCTTAATTTAAATTTATAAGAGTTTTTCTTATAATTATATAATATTAAAGAAATAGCTAATTAATTACTTACTAACTATAATATATTATCTATTAGTAAGTACTAGACTTTTAATTTTATTAGATAATAACTAAATATTAAGATAAACTTTTTTTATAAATATAATTATTAAAGAGCTAAATATAAAAATCTTACTATTATTTATAATTAATTCTAGCTTATAGAGAATATAATTATAAAATATAATATTAATCTAGCTAATATTTATAATTTTAATAAGACTAGTTTTATAATAGGTATAATTATAAATAGAATAGTTATTATAGATATAAATAAATATAGAAATTTAAAATTAATTTAGCTTGGAAACTAGAAATAGATTATAGTTATTTAGGTAATTAATATAAAAAGCTGGATAATTTAGCTATTTATTATAATTATAGGCTAATATTATCTTACTAGCTAGTATTAGAAAAGTAACCTTTTAGATAATTAGACTATTATAATAACTTAAAATAGCTAGATTAATAATAAAATAGATTTTAAATAGCTTAAGTATTTTAATTAGTATATAAAGAATTAATTAACTAATTACTATTATTTTCTAATTTTTAATAAATATAAAAATTACTATTTTATTAATTTTAAAAAATATTAAAAAAAATATTATTATATTTTATATACTATTTTATTTATTTTATCTACTCCAGCCTCTTAATATTAGATACTTTAAGCTACTTAAAATAGCCTATAATTAAAAAATTAAGTAATTAATTAGATATTTTATAATTTATATTATAAAAATTAAGTTCTTTCTAGTCTTCTATACTATTTATATAGCTACTATAATAAAAAGTAATATTAAAAAAGATTTTTAAGAAGCTGGATTTATTTTCTTAAATCTAGAAAATATTATATTAAAGCTTAATATATAGCTATAGACTCTAATACTAGCTCTAGAGGAGGTTAGCCTCTCTAGTTCTTAAATTTTAAAAACTCTAAAAATAGTACTTAAAGCTAGTTTATAGTTTAAATATCTTAAAAAATAAATAAGAAGATATTAAAGTAGCTCTTTAATATCTATTCTTAAAATACTTAAGTTATTTTCTAAGAAAATAAAAATAATAATATATTAAATAATATTATTAAAGTCTAAAAACCAGATTCTTTAATAGATAAATAAAACTCTTAGTACGTAATATAGAATAAAAAAAACCTACTTATATTAAAAAGAAAAGATAACTATAGATAAAAAAAGAAATAAGATAGATTAGAGAGATATTAATATATAGATAGTAGCTAAATTATCAAGAAGTAGTAGTTAAAAAAGATTAGCAATACTAAAAGAAAGATACTATAAAACTTATAGAAAGGCCGGTTATAATATAAGAACCTATCAGGCTGTTATTAAGACCTCTAGAAAAGAGTATAGTAATTAGTTTTAATTAATTAGATATTTTGTTATATTTTTATTACTAAATTTATATTAAAGGTTAGAGAAAAGTATATACTTACTTATACTGTGCACTTGCTTATTATATATATTATATTTAAACTTAAAAGATAAGTCTGTTAATTATATAAGTAAGTTAGTTAACTACTAAAATAGCTAACCTTACTAAAAATATATTATTAATTATTTAGAATAAAATAAAAATATCTTAGTGTATTCAGTATCTAGTTCTGTATTTATTTTCTATTATCTATCTGAACTTAACACTTAGATAATTTACGTATCAATATCCATACTAAAATTTAAGTACCCAAGCTAAGCTTTGGTTACGCCTGGGCGGGTAGATATGAGTTGCAACCTGACAAAAGGACGCATGAATTTCCCTTTAGTTGATGCCACTGCTTGTAGTATCAAGACGAGCCAACCAACTCCGACTTCACAAGTGAAGCATACGCGGACGCCCAGGCATCGCTCGGAATCGATCCTCAACAAAGTTCAACTCCGCCATCTCCTATTCGTGCTTACCGCCTGAGGGACAATGGCTACCTTGCTTCTGTTCCACCATCGCCCGAACCGCAATTCCATACCCCCGCGCCCCCTGGTTTCGATCAGTACGATATCGCCGTCTTCTTATCCCACGAGTGACGACCCGAATCGACCTTTGACGATGCTGATGAGAACTGGGTTCTACGACAACAGCAGCACTATCATGAAGCTAATAACAATGCACTCAAGTAATCAAAACGCGAAAAGCCAGGCTTGTCCAGAGTCCCGTGCTTAATGTCGACTACTTAGTGCCCAGTACGGTTGAGAATGCCGTTGAGCCCCAATAACTTGACAGTTCTAACAAGGGCCAGCTTGAAGAATTCACCACCATAGAATGCACTGCCGCCGCCTGCGGCCCGAATGATTTCACCCTGAAAAAATGATATGACCTTCGCCCCCGAATGTACAATAGACACACGGAACTGCTGATCCCCATCACCTACTACAATTAAAACATGGTCCTTCTGACCCGGAAGCTTTATAAAACCAAGTAGAACATCCTGGATATTATTCAACTTAAGTACGCGTCGTTTTGGACTTACAGTAGTCCTGCTTAGTAAAAGATTGTTGTTTATCTTATCTTTGATGGCATTAGTTAAGGAGACACCAATGTGTTTGATATTTTGGCTACTATTGATATCTACTAAGATGACATTCTCAAAGAAGACCTCAATGGAAAGAAGACTATAGCTTGTGTCTTTAAGTACACAAGCTAGCTATTTATTACTCCAAACCAACAGCTCATCTAGCCTACCAAAGATAGTGAAGCGGAGTGGGAAGGGTTATTGGGCGGATTGGTTACAGAGTAATGCTGATGAAAGGGTCTATAAGAGGGACTATTTGGCTGCGAGAAACTAAATTCAACATCATTGAGGTCCCTCTGTCTATTTCAGATATCTTACCAACCTCAATCTTTGCGACCGACCCGATAAAGCTTATCATGAGATCCTTCTCTTTCTTATGAGCATTTCCCCGAGTCAATAGTATATTATTTTGAGTTGCCTAGCTAGGGCCTGAGCTGACCTGGCCAGAGGACTCAAAGATGTATAACACAGAGGATTCAGCTATAAAAAGGTGGAACATTTGGATGTTATTCCTGACCTTTTCCGCCGCCAAAATAGCAATAATCTGCCTTCTGTGCAATTTATATTTTGTCTTAAATAGAATAACAGCAAGAACGTTAACCTGAAATGTTAGTTATTTACTATTTGGTTTTTCTTTTAGCTGTACTCAATATGATCAGATAGATCAAAGCCATACAGTATTTTCAAACAACAGAGACAAACAGTTAGTGCTACACCCAGCAACAGAAGAGCCAGTAGCTGAGCAATAAGGTTGTTGCACACTGGTCTTTGCCTTAAGCTTCAATTCAACCCTTCTGACTTCAACCCTGCTTAGACATAAAGGTTAGAATGGGGCAAAAAAGTTAGACAGGATTCCGGCAGATGGAAAAAAAGTAGCTTGAAACCTAAACTTGGGCCTTGGCAATTGTGACGTGCACAACGAAAATGCAGTAAATTCAAACATTAGGTTCCCTCATCGAGGGTAGCTATTTACTATATTTGGCAAAATTCTGAACTCAGAAGTGGCAATCCTGATTAATACAGAAATGTGGCAGGCATACCTACGTCACGCTACGTGGCTTGCATTATTTTGCAATTTCTACTTGCCCTTGGAAACCAACCAAAAGCGTCCAAGTACACATATCTTATATTATTGAGGACCTTTAGTCTGATGATTCAAGGCTATTGAAAAGGGGGAACTTGCTTTTTGTACCAAAATAACCACCCCAGAGGCTCTAGGGTATCTGAGACAACAGCTTGCTGTAACCTTTCTGAAAACCCAGTCTTGGAGAAAATTGCTCAACAAGACTAGATATCAGCAATTGGAAAAGAGGGACTGTGTGACTATATGCCTTTGGATGCAGAACATTAAAAATTGAGGAGAATGGAATAGAATTAACAGCCGTGGAGACTACCGACGCAGCGGCCCAAAACTAGGAAAAACTAGGAAAAACTTGCAAAGACTCAAAAACTGATGTCCTCTCTCAATCACTGCACAAGGTCCCGTTCTTATCTGCCCCTCCCTGCCCTGTTAGCCCGGGTCTAAGTCATATTATCCTGACTGTCTCTGCGGTCCAACACATTATGTTTTTATCTTGACTACATTTTTGGTGATTCAAGCCTTCCAAAAGCCAATTGAAGACCAAATATCTTTCTCTTCAGGCAGCGAAATCTACGAAAGTTTCTTTGACGGCAAAGGCGTGGCCGGCACTATCCTGATTGCGCTCATCACAATCTACAGGCTCAATTTTATTGCCTCAGTCCTTTATCTTAATCCTCGGCACATGTTTCATTCCTTTCCCCAGTATTTATTTCTTGTGTCAACCTATGTCAACATACTGATAGTTTATTCCTTCAACAACTGGCATGATGGTTCTTCGGGAACCAAATGGTCTGATAAGTTGGACGCCCCTCCCTCCACCGATTTGACGAGAGGGGATGACAATGAGGCAAGCGTGGAAGAGATTGAGAAGGAGAAGGAGGACATTGATACACAATTCGAAAGGACTGTGTAGAGAGCTCTTGCCCCGATGGAGGAATTCCAAGATGATGCAGTTGAGCCTAAAGATGCTGAAGATTCCTATAAATCTTTCTGTACTAGGTTAGTGGTGTCTTGGCTATTCTCTAATATTCTGCTCATTGCAGTCATCACGAGCAATGAATCCAGCATGCTCAACGTTGGTGTAAGTAGTATGCCTCAATTACAGAGTATTTTACCTTGAACTATTGGCGCAGATGCTAATTATCTCTACAGGAGGCAGCGACTACGAGAACTCCGTTTTATTTCTGGTTTCTCATGTAGGCAACCGCCGTTTTCTCCATCATTGGATTCATGGGGGTTTTGTGGTTCTTGGGGAAAAGTGGCATCCTGTGTTGTCTCGTAGCGCGATGAAGGCTGGTGTGTGGCCACGTACGAAGGGGAGGGATTGATCAGTGTAGACTTGGCTTTTTATTTAACTTTTTGGATTATTTTCATTGCACACTTTTACATTTGTCTACTCGCATACATGGAGAAAGATATTGACAGTTGTAATCTATAAAACCACTTCACTTGGATACTGGCTTAGTTCCTCGAGATCAAGCATCACTGCCTTGTGCAAGCAGTGACACCAATAAGGCCGTAGTTGGTTAGCCTTTCTCCGTATCTCTCCGCAGGTCTCTTGGCATTGAGAAAAAACTGGCTTGTGGAACCCGCTCGCCCCACCCGTTATGATGAATGTTGCTATCTTTAGCGTATTCATGCACTGCCTCGCGAGACGGCCATGGCGTCACGGATTCCGCGGGCTCCAGCAATGGGTTCCCTCCATTTCCTGTCTCAAGAAAAGGCACCACTTTTCTGTTTCCAGACATGGCCTGCGTAGTTTCGTGCTCCTACTCCTCCGTCACAGTCTGAATATTCATCCCAATTCCGTCCGTCGTCTTGCTGGCCCGTTTCTGACAGGCACCTTACCTTGTCTTTGATCCCCACAGTCGTCTTCTTTTAATAATACGTAACTAGTAACCCCTTGTCACGCCCACTGACACCGGCCGCCTGCATATCACCATGGCCACCGACAGCTCGGATGATGTCCCCCAAGGCGATATACCAGACAATCCACCCACCTCCACACCAAGAGCCGTCAGTTTCCATCCCACACCCTCCCTTCCTCCATCGCGCGCAGTACAAGCCATGACTCACATTTCTGTAGTGTGACGCTTGCCGTTTGCGTAAGGTGTGTACCCGGTTCATGCTACCCACGGACGGTTGGTTGATTGCCGCCTTTATGTCTTGTCGAAGAGAGGCCAAACCCCTTGATGCTACACTACATTGAGCACACGTCAAGCTAATCAAGGCATACATTGATTACAGATTCGCTGCGGTAGGAACTTCCCCTGTTCGCAATGCGTCCAAACCAAGATCCCCTGCGTCTACACCGATAGACGGCCCAAAGAGAAGAGCACTCGCATTCTCCTATCTGCCAATTAGTGAGTGTTTTATTATTATTGTTACATTGAATCATTATGCCGCTCCAATAAACCCATCCTCCACCACTTTGCTCACCACCAGTCGTTGACCATTTTCTTCTCACTGTGCAGTGAGAGAAAAATTGACACACTTGATCGTCGGCTCGAACAAGTCACTCTTTTACTGCAGGAAATAAAGACCAACCTGCCGTCTACAATATCTGGATCTTTACCGCCAACCCAAAGCAAGGAGGCCTCACCAGAGGGAACAACTATATATCGACCATCCGTGCCATCAATCCCAATCGTCTTGAACGATACAGTGCAAGCTACTTTACACAGCTTTATTGTCGAGGGCGAATCTTCACTAGCAGCCAACGCTGTATTTGCCCACGAGTTCCTCCAAAACTTTCTTCACACAAATATCCTAGAGGGCGCCAGCCTAGAAATGAACCAGAGCTTAGAGGCGCTGCAGCATATTGTGGATGGTTTCAAACAGAAGACTGCGGCCACCGAAATGCACTACTCCAAAGCTAGGCACATTCAACGCCCTACTCTCCCCGACATCAAACTGCCGCCCATCGAAAAGACTGTGTCACTCATACGTAGATGCAAAAGTATGTTCTTTCTCCCATTTTAGCCCTGCTTTCCATTTTCCGAAATTGACAAATCCCATCTTAGGCCCAACAGCTGAGCTATCAGAAATGTCTACTTGGATCTTCGAAATCACTCCTCTGAAAGATTTCCCTGAAACCTGTCTCAGGATTTATGTCTCGGAGGATTGTTCCGACGCTGACATTCTTACTGCCAACTATGGCATGTTTCATTTTTATCTGCAGCAATCGCAAACTACATCATCATCAGCCGAAAGAGAAGAGACTGCATCATACGCCGAAATGTGTCGGGAAAACCTTGAGACTACTCTAAGTAACTTGTCTTTGCACTTACCAGCAACATCGAGCATGATTAGTGCTCTACTTTTAGGCGTACGTATTTATTTTACCCGAGTTCCTTCATGCTATAGCTGCAAGGCTCACATATCGCAATCCTTAGGCGTATTACTCTGTCGAAATCTCAAAACCGTGGCTCGCTTGGACCTTGACATGCAAGGCGTCAGAGTTGTGTCAAAGACTGGGCTACAATCGGCTTTCATCTATGACGAGTGACACAACTGAAGACCAAGAGTACAAGCAACTTCTTTTCTGGCGCATATACCACTTAGATAAGAGTTTGTCTCTTCGCCTAGGACGGTCGTCGTCCGTCCAAGACGAGGACGTGACGGTACCTATCCCCCCGGTGGAAGGTCTTGGTACTAGACCTCTCTCAGCGTTCGTGTCCATGTGGATAAGAACTGCACGGTGTCAGGGAAACATTTACCAGATGCTATACAGCCCGGATTCCATCAAAATGCCCAATTGTGTACGTCGGCATCGGGTCAGCGCTCTGGTAAAGGACCTAGAAGAGATTAGGCTATGGCAAGTCAGTGTAAGTAGGAACTTATCCTGTGTTCACACGACTCGGCATAAACCGGGCGAACTGGCTGAGAACTTACGTGTATATTCAGATACAGTGGATCGAACAGGCCTACTCAGCAATTGGAGAGGGCATGGTCAAATTCATATCTGCATCTGACGACGTGCTCCGCCTGTCTCTCCTTACACTTGTGTATCGAGCAAGCCCCCCTAGTGAAGGCTCTCATACAATCTTTATTCCCGAGTGTATTGAAGCCGCACGAGCGACGCTGAGGCGACACCGAGATTGTATGTCTTTTGTCGAAAGCGCGCATTCTAGGTACTTTCCCCCGTATCTACATATGTGAGTTACACACACAAGAATCTATCATACAACCATTTCCAGCTCAAATCAAACCCAATCCCTCGAGCTAATGGCTTCATTCTAATAACTCTAAGGACTTTATTATCCGTCCCCTTTGTCCCCTTTATCATTCTTTTCTGCCACGTTATCGAATCCCATGATATGAGCGACGTTGCCAGCCTTCACGACTTCCTTGCCTCAATTGAGCCAGCCCCAAAAGTATCAGAAGCCGCGGCTGAAATGTACCGTCTGTTACAGGTGCTATACAGCGTGGCTCTCCGGTATATTGAGTTTCATACTTCAGATTGTGCAGTACACCGTATGCAGATGTATGCCGAACTGAACCCTGACTTGACATCTGTAGGAGTTCCGCCAGTGTTTCTAGAACACTGCCACCAACAGCAATCCTCTAATTCAAGGTTCTCTGAAAATAAGTAGGCCCTACATCCGTCTCTAGGAGTCGATATTGAGTTGGATGGCCTCCTCGCAACAGCCAAGCCATTCATTGTGGGGTAGTGGACGAGTCTAAAACTAATCAGCAAGTCGCCAGTGGTGCTTGGCTGAAATACTGGAACGGTCTACTCAGGACGGGCGGGGATGGGGGCGGGGAATGGTTGGGTTAGGTCGGTGATGTCACCGTCCGGAAGTTTGACTCGACTGTAGTCGCATTGAGGATAACCCGTTGCCGCAAAAAAAAGCACAAGAGATATTAGTTTTTAGAATTAAAATCGATTGAATTCAATTTGTTAATTGAATAGGAAGCTTCGGCGATTCGTAGACCGGAAAAGCCAAGCTGAGGTGATCCGAGCCGCATGAACATTTAATTAGGTCATGAACCCAAGCTACCTATAAGATACTTAAAAACCCTACTTCCCATCCTGACCTTATACTACTGTTATTTCTTCCTTATCTGCTCATCACAATATCAATTTAGCTGGATTCTCCTGCCCCATAATACTAACAGGTACATCAACATAAAGAATACAGCATCTCACACTACGCGCCGCCATCTCATCTCCGACGATGCTCGCGCGTCTTATAGTAATAGCACGCCAATTCGGCATCACAGCTATACACCAAGCAGGCCCGGGAAAGGTAGTGCCGACGACGGAGCGCCAGCCTAACCCCACGGAATCAGAGGAAGATATCAGAGCAGACCGGTTGCGTATTGAACTGCTATATAAGCCACATCCGACTAAGAGCAAAGAGGATGTTCGTGCGGATCGGAGCACAGAGGATCCAATCCATAACAAGGGTAAAGGCAAGCCTGCAGCTGGAAAGCCTTAAAGGGAGTTTAGCGGGGCTTGACGATTGTGGCGTCCTGATGGGTATCTATAGGGGCGGGCAGGTTAGAGTCTATACTCGAGGGGATTGAGAGGGTCGTAATAATACATACGGTGCAGGAGCAATCTGAATGTAAAATAGCAAAGTTAAGGCAGAAAGTATGATTTAATATCTTCTATAAGTACCACGCTTATTCTAATTCTTAAGATATAGATAGGTAATCTTCTTTAATAATATCCCAATTTATTCTATCTAAATCTATAGTATCTTCTGTACTATTACTCGACGTATTGCTATAGCTCGTCTAGTTGTATAAAAATACGCTCCCCGTGGTAGGGGTATATTACAACAGCAACCCCGCGCTGCTGTCTTCGTGGCCTACGGAGTTATCGCAGGAGATAGATTCCAGGATAGAAGGAATTAGGTCCACGAAATAGTCCATATTATGGCTTAGAGATACGCCGAGGATTGCCGGGCTGCTCTTGGACGAGGATAAACTTTGCTGTTGCTGTAAGTGCCCGCTGGCGGCTCCCTTAGCTGCTGTTAGCTGAATGCACAGCCAGGCTGGAGAGTTAATATCTTAAGGGGGTCTCCCTTTGCTGATATATAAATTAATAGTCCAGATAATCCTCAGATATAAATCCAGTTACTTTAGCAGGATATAACTCCAGTCTGTAATAGACTTATAGCTAAATTAAGATAAAATTTGGGTATTAATTTAGGTAAGATTAGTAGCGTATCTTGCTATTTGCCTGATTTATTCCACTCCCTAATATTACAGTATAAAACTATTTATTATCTTAACTAATATATTTAGCTAATTTTAAATTAACTTTAAAGTTAAGTTTAATTTAGTTAATAGGCTTAATAGTAACTTATTATTTAAAGAGAATAGTCTTATAATAATTATATATAATATTAAAGAAATTATTATATACCTAAGTTTATTTTATAAATTTATTATTAACTTTTAAAATAGAATTTTATTAAAAGTATACATTCAACTTATATTATTATTAGTAATTAGTAGATTAAGTAGTTAGTAATATATTAACTTCTTAAAATATTTTATTAGGTTAAATATAAAGCTTTATAATTTATAAGTAATTTTATAAAGTTATATAATTTAATAAATAACTTTTATATTTTTACCTATTTAGTTTAATATAATAAGCTAACTGGATATTTAGTAGTAATATAAAATAATATTAGTAGTATTATAATAGAAATAAAAGTATTTTAAATAAAAAATTAATAAGTATAATTAAAATAACTTACTAGTAATATATATATATAAGATTCTTTTATAATATAATAATTTTATATAATATATATAATAAGTAAGTAAAATAAATAAGTAAGTAAAATAAAAATCTCTTAACTTATATCTTTTTTATTTAATTAATTAATTCTTAACTATTTAGTATATTATAATTTAATAAAGAGGTTAAAATTCTTCTTATCTTTTAGGCTCTTTAAAATAACTTAAAATTAAAGCTTTAATATATTATAGAGATTTATATAGTTAATTTAATAATATTCTAGTATTAATAAAAAAATATTTAATTTTAATATAATACTATCTAGAAATTATATAAGCTATTTAATCTAGAAAAAGAAATTCTTATTTATTTTATTTTTACTTTAAATTTATAAGAATTTCCTCTTTAGCTATATAATATTAAAGATATAGCTAATTAATTACTTACTAACTGTAATATACTATTAGTTAGTATATATTAAGCTTTAAACTTTATTAGGTAATATCTAAATCTTAAAATATATTTCTTTTAAAAATATAACTATTAAAAAGCTAAATATAAAAATCTAATTATTATCTAAAAGTAATTTATACTTATAGTAAATATAATTATAAAGTATAGTATTTAATTAAATAATATCTATAACTTTAATAAAACTGGCTTTTTTATAAATAGAATTATAAGTAAAATAATTATTATAAGCTTAAAAAATATAAAATATTAAAATTAATATAGTTTAGAAACTAAAAATAAATTATAATTATTTAGGTAATTAATATAAAAGATTAAGTAATCTAGCTATTTATTATTAATTCAGGCTAATATTATCTTATTAATTAATATTAAAAAAGTAACTTTCTAGGTAATTAGATATTTATAATAACTTAAAATAGCTAAATTAATAATAAGACTAATTTTAAGTAGCTAAAATACTTTAACTAATATATAGCTAATTAATTAATTAATATCTATTATTTTTTAATTTTTAATAGCTATAAAAATTACTAGTCTATTAAATTTAAAAGATATTATAAAAAAAATAAGATTATTAAGTTTTATTTACTATCTTATTTATTTTACTTACTTTAGCCTCTTAATATTAATTATTTTAAGCTACTTAAAAAAAGCCTATAATTAAAAAATAGAATATCTAATTAAATACTCTATAATTTATATTTCTAAAACTAAATTCTTTCTAGCCTTTTATATTATATTTTAGATTATTATAATAGAGAAAAATATTAAAATAGCTTTTAAAAAAGCTAAGCTTATTTCTCTTAACTTAGAAAGTATAATTTTAAAGCTTAATATATAGCTATAAACTTTAATATTTACTAGAGAGGAAGCTAAGTTTTTAATTTCTTAGATTTTAAAGACTTTAAAAAGTATACTTAAAGCTAGACTTTAATTAGAATATCTTAAAAGATAAATAAGAAAATATAAAAATAACTTATTAAAGTTAATTTTTAAAGCTTTATAATTTCTTTTTAAGAAAATAAAAACTATTATATATAAAGTTATCTTATTAACTACTAAAAATAAAAACCTTTAAGAGGTAAATAAAATATTAAGCTAGTATTAAAAGGTAAAAAAAAACCAGACTATAAAAAAGAGAGATAATAATAATAAAAGAAAAAAAATAGGTAATTAATTAAATAGATATAAATATATAGATAGTAGCTAAATTATTAAAAAGTAGTAGTTAAGAAAAGTTAGTATAACTGGATATTTAATATTATAATATCTATAATAAGCTTAGCTATAATATAAAAACCTATTAAATAGTAATTAAAATATTTAAAAAAGAGTATAATAAGTAGTTATAAGAAAATAGATTTATTAATATTATACAGAGGGAAATACTATATATTAATTATCTATTTAAAGCTATAAAAAAAGAAAAAAAATCTTATTTATAATCTTAAAGAAAGCTTTTATTTAAATAGCTATAAGAGCAGTATATTCTAGTAGTAGGTTTCTCTTTAACTAAATATAATATAGCTATATCCCTTAATTTAAAACTTTAGCCTATAATATTACCTTCTTTTTTTACTCTAGTTATTATAGTTATTATTAAACTCTTTATAACTCTTATAAAATATCTTAAAAACTAAGATAACTTTAATATATCTTACTATTATTTTTATTTTTATTTCTAGTAATTATACTATTTAAACTTTTAGAGCTTTTAAATTTATAATTTTCTATTATATTAAGCTAACTAAGAACTCTCTATATATATACTATATCTTTATTAATTATAACTTATATTAATTAATTTAGTACTTTATAGAGCTATAGTATATATATTTACCTTTTTTATACTATTTTTATTACTATACTAGAGATATTATTAAAGCTATTTTTCTAACTTTTATAGACTTCTATTTTATTACTCTACTTAAAATTAAGCTCTATAAATCCTGCTATAAAATCAGCTTAAAATCTCTAAATAATAATAGTATATATATAAAGTTATTATACTTCTTTAGAAGGTATAGCTACCCGTCTAAATATTATATTATTGCCTTATTAAGATAGCTAGTTAGAATTATAATATTTATATTATTAGATTATAAGTCTGCTCCAGCCTTATAGAGAGTTTACTTAAAATATATAAGAAATTTAACTAAGGGTTTTAAGTTCTACTATAGTTCTTATAGCTGCTACCCTGCCTTTTTTATCTTATTAGGGTTATTAAAAATTTAGATGAGGTATTTTAATAAGGCAGTCAGATTCTATTTATATTTTTATTCGATATATTATATATATACTAGTATAGAAGATTGGATCTCTAAGCTTAGTAAACTATATATATAATAGAACTGAATACTTATACTTCTAATTGCAAGTCTATTAATATACAGCTTTATATATAAAGCTAGAACCTAAGCCTTCCAGTTTTTAGTATTTCCGTTAAATTAGTCGAGGTCGGGCAGGACCTGCCGCAGCCGCTGTATTTATATTGCTTCTTAGAGCTCAGCAATTTGCTCCTTTATTTCCGTGATTGTAGCTATCAGCTCCGCCTCGCGGGCGTTCTACTGGCTAGTTCCTTGCGAGGTTATTGCGTATTCGTTGCGTTCGTTTGCCGTGCCGTGTATGTTGTGTTGAGCTTTGAATAATATAAGGGGACAGATCCGTCGATGTTGCGCGGAGGGAAATGCCGTGTATTGATCGTCTATTTAAAGCTGCAGAAGAAGAAGAAGAGTCTTACCTATAGTCTCGAAGCGAGCCCCTATCTAGATAGCTGCGAGGGCGGTGTGTTCTAGCAGTAGGTTTCTCTCTAACCGGATATAGTATAGCTATATCCCTTAATCTAAAGCTTCAGTCTGTAACAGTAGTTTTAATTAATTAAATAATCTATAGTATTTTTTTTGCAGTTTCTATAAAAAAGGTTAAGATTTTTATTTTACTTATCTATTTTACTTACTTATCTATTTTACTTACTTATCTATTTTACTTACTTATCTATTTTACTTACTTATCTATTTTACTTACTTATCTATTTTACTTACTTATCTATTTTACTTACTTATCTATTTTACTTACTTATTATATATATTAGCTTATATTTCTTATTTAATTAATTCTTAAAGTTACTATTATAAAAAGGAAATTATACTATAGTTTGTATATACTAACTTTTTAATATAGAGCTATAATAATCGGAATTAAGGTGTCTAGCCTCTTACTTTTTCTTAAGGTATAATACTAAGGCCTTAGATAGAGAAGCCAGAATAAGTATATCACTTAGTATTATAATAAATTTAAGAAACCTAGAAAATAAAGTAATTTATTATTGCTTAGTTGTTAGAGGAAATATATTTAATCGATATATTTCATCATCAAGATCTACTATACTAAGCATAATAAACTGCTTAAAATTAAAGCGATCTTTTGTAATATAGCAGTTGAATCGGTTGCAGAGCGGAGAGATTCGGTCCATAATGATACAGCACCACCACAGACGGCATAGGGCTTTTTGATATTTCTTCTCAGCCATGCTGTTAGGGGCCAGCATACCTAATATTCTCGTGTGAAGATCTGCGTTGATACTTTCCGCATGCTGAATGGCGAGGCCCAACCAAGTCTTGTGAGGACTCAAGGTCGTTTCGAATGATGGTATCCAGCCCATCAGAAGTGCCGATTGAGCCAGTGAAAGTGGGCTAGTTTCCGTCTCTAATTTATATAAAAGCTAATAGAAAATGTCAGTCGTTTGCAACCCTTACTTTCCGCACGGTAAGAGCGTTTGCCTTTGTTTTTCTATAGAACTCAGTTCTAATTTCTTGGCGACTAGAGAAGCCCAGGTTTTCAATGGTTTCGTGAGAGACATACTAGTATCGCTCCAAGTTGGTTGGCTAAGTTTCATCAAGGGGTGGTCCAGGTGGCTATCAAACTTACACTACAGGAGGCAAACAACATGGCCTGAAAGACCAACAATGCCATCTTATCCTGAGAAGTTATGTTGTCTTTTTGTTTCTGACAGTACATATCCCAGAAGTCTCCTTCGTTCAGTAAAGGCAGTAGGCCGTGGAAATGTGCGAAATACTGTTCTACCAAGTCGTCTAGTCCCGGACGAGTCGGGACGTGGAAGCATCCTTGGGACTCCAGGTAGCTAACATCTTGGTGAGGAATATTGTGGACGTTGCCGAGAGTCAGATATGGGAAGTGGGAGTAAAGCACTGTGGCATTCGCCTGAGTCCAACGAGACCCCCGCCGAACCGTCTTAGTGCTGCCGGTGCTCGCTTCACAACCGGTAGTTGACATTTCTCTAGGAGCTTCTGCGTCTGTGGCATAATTCAGTTAAAGAGAAAGGAAAGGGGGAGAGGGGCTGATTAAGACCTTTTGGAGGTGTCATCTCAGTTCCTTTATAGTCTGAACATGAAAGATTATCCAGTGATATGCCAATCGAATGATCGACCTTGATTTCGTGGTCGCTCACGTGGCCATTAACGGTGCCTGCAGTATCTAGCGCATCTCCCAATTCAGGCATGCAGCTATCCAGCACAGACGGACCATCTGGCCCTGTCAACCTAGTATCATTATCGACACCAGTGGTCGAAGGAGTAGTTTCGGCAGGTAAGTTGTGTCTATTTGTGAGCTGATCTGGAGAGGGTTGATGTACTTCCGGCGATGGAAGGCGAGAAGATGACGGGTGCAGTCGTTTTCTCGAGCCTCTTTGGCTCCTATGTGGCGTTAGCAAATTTGAAGAATAATTAATTATACATGTAGATAGGCCATTCCCGGGGTCACAGTACAATTTGGAGGCCTGTAAGACAACGAGACAGCTTTTCTCATCGAGCTCGCAGTTTGTACAGGGCTGGCCACGAGAGGCCACATCGCACCGCACTTTTCTCCGCCTGCAAGGCAGGCAAGCATGCACCGCCCGCTTGCGATGTATGCTTCGTCCCCCGCTTGGACCAGGTGGATGGGGTGTGGTTATGTCCGGCGTCATTGCGAAGACGATATCGGGAACAAAGACGGGTTGACGTGCGTGGCTGTCGGCTTACAGGTCCAAGGAAGCACTGTAACTGGGGAACTTGTGCTTTGTAGAGCATAGGCTATGCCTCGCGTTCGCTGGCGCATCGGCAGAGACAGGGAACAATAATCGTCCTGATATATCCGGAGAGCATTCGAAACACTAACGGGACTAACCAGGGAGAAGCACAATTGCCGTCGTCCAGATCCGTAGTGGCTACTGTGGGTTCCATCTCTAATCCCGTCCCCACACTCCAAACTCCGAATCTTCCAAACTCCGCATCGACTCCGGGGAAGACCAAGTGCCGGATTTGGAGTCTGGCCAGTTCTATGTACGTTTTACGTTTTCTAGTACTGTGGCTGTAGCTGGATAGCTAGGCTTGCTGGGTGCATTACTTTACTTTGATGATGTTAGATTCTAAAAGCGCCGCTACTCACTCCCAAACTCACCGCCGTACAGACGCAGCCAAACACCCGCCTAATTTCTCTGTGAGCATATGGGCATCTCTTATAGAACCTACTTTCCTCGAGCCAGTCCTTCTTGGGAACATCTACATCCGCGTCTAGAAACCACGAAGGATCTCACTCGGCGAGACCCAGGCTCGAGCCGTTGCCTATCCATCGGAGCGAATTCCCTGTTGGGTAATAAGCGCTCTCAAACATGAAGTCTTCCCACCGGGGAGCCTGCAGCACTTCAAGACATTGCGCTAATGATCTTGGCCAGGTTGCCACGATCCGCGAGTTTATCCTGCCCGTTTGATACCAAGACGAACACTCACTTGTATATACCGTCCGCTTGAAGTATTAGTAAACGTACTGGTTGAATTGGGCGACGAGCTCCGGCCTTACCTCAATGGTTGCGTAGTCATCCTTCTGCAGCCTCCGGAGCACCTTAACGACATAGTCGCCCCGGACGTCAAACACGCTCAGTAGGCTGCCAGTAAAAAGACGGCTATTACGGCCCTTGATAAGGAAGAAGTTTGAAAGTTCGTCAACAGCTACGAACAGGCACGACTAAAAACACAGCTTCCACTTCCTAGTTAGGGTAGAATCGTCACTGCCGGTGGGTTCCATGGTTGGCGGCGCCGCTATATCATGCTCCTTGAATAGATTAGGAGGTTCAGCCCAATCTATTCCCTGGAAATGACCTTCATGGCACAATGCGTGATCTGTTGAATGAGACTGCTAAAGAATCGAACATCATATTCCTCAAGCGCTTCCAAATACCCAGGCCTGGGTGTCAGTCAGGAGCACCCAGGGGCAAAATTAGGTATCAAGGCTCGAAACAAGTCTTCTCTGTCTTTCAGTCGTTGAGAGATCTACTAACACGAGATAGAACCGATGCGCGGCTGACAGAAGTCCAAGAGCTATCGAGGCAGCTTGGTAGGCCTTTGCGAGACATTTTATTACTTCAGTGGTAACCTTTGAAAGAGCACGCACCTGCGGCGCCTCAAGCTTGGCCCTGTCTAACTTCCATTACGTTCTTCCACTTGCCCGAATATGGCCCTCGCGGTTCGTAACAGCACAAACAGCATTTGAGGGATACATGCGTCGAGGTTTCTGCTGGATTTGAAACGGCGGATGCCGCGGCACACTGACTCAGTGAATGTTTTTAGACATCCGCATTTGCACGTTCATTTTTTTTTCTCATATCTATGTATTTGCTCCTGGAGAACCGTGCGAAAGCTGTAGATGACCTGTTAGAGGGCGACGTGCTTCCGATGTTAACCAAGAAAGGGACACAAACTTAAAAGTGAACTGCCAAGTCGCCAATAGTGAGCCAGCTGTGTCATGATCAGAAATATGAGGTCTTCCTCTAGAGTCGGCTGAAAATCGTCACCAATCCCATATGGTCGTGCCCCTAAAGAGTTTGCAAGCTTCAAGATGATCCACGCAGGGCCAATCACAACCCCAATCATGGTTGGTGGGGCGTAAGTGATGAATTGGGAAGCCCATGCCCACTTTCTGAAGACCCGAAAGATATCCTTGGCGATATCCTTCAGGTGGTGCAGCCGATGGTCTTGTACGAGTTCTTTTGACCATCGAACCCCTCCCGTGGGTCCAAAGAAGCGATTCGACGTAGTGAGAGTGGGTTCCGGTACTACTTTACTATGAAGAGTCTGTATAATGATGCGCGCACTAGGGAAGAAAATCGGTCAGGGCTGAAAGAAGACGTTGGAGAAGAATAGCCACTTACTTGAGTATCATGAGGTTAGTCAATACGAGCCAATTGCTTTTCGCGTATGTCTCATCATCAAAAAAAGTGCAGTCATGCAGGTACTCAAACTTCCTCCGGTAGAGCACAGAGAAAGATGCGAGTATGGTCTCATATTCGTCGATCTCGTGTTGGCGGACTGTCTTTCTGTGCGCGAGTTGGTGCGACTGGACCATGAGATAGTTGCTCATAAGGAACCACGGACGAGCATCCTGAGCCTGGGTGTCGCTAAGACGCCTGCAGCACACCAGGGGGTTGGCATGGAACATGGGCGAGTCAAGAGGAGTGTAGGAGAACCATGTTTCGTCTGAGGCCGGTAATCGAATGCGAGCCTGGAGGGGGTCGATGAGGTTTGGGCGTCCGCCTGACACAGCGCCGAAGGCGTCGAGCTCCCAGACCGACCACCAAGCTCTTCGCTTTTCTTCCTTGGACGACCAATTCTTTGCGTCAATGGGTCCAGAAGATGACACTGGGCTTTGTGCCGAGTCTTCGTCCACTTTATGCAGACCTAGGTCGGCTGCGTAGTTGACACAATGTCTTACCATGTCATCCTGATTAGGATCGGGGCCGAAGCTTTGATTATAATACGCAATGAGGATGCATCCTTGCAGCCATGGCAACGAAACGCGAAAGTCCTTTTCGTTGGACACATCACGGAACGCGACCTGTGCTCGGAATGCAAACTCCTTCCCTCTGTCTTCTCGGGTAACGCCTTCAAAATGCGTCGAGGTCGAATACCGAGCAGCAAGAGCGCTCATGGCATTTACAAGAAGATAAGACACTCTGTTGAGATTCTTATAGCATTGGCTACCAAGTTTGCCAACATAATGCTGAAGGAATTCTGGCCCGTGGAACAAAGGGAGGAACGGTTGTACCCGGAGGAAGTATAGGTCGATCCTATTAAATTGGTTGATTAGTTACAATTACGCCAAGGAACAATCCCCACTGGCATACATGCGTACATTTCTCTGATCAAGTTTGGGGACACGTCCATCCGAAAACGCCGAGCTGGGAGACTGGCATGCAAGGACTGATCGGGAGCCGCCACGTCGGTGCACAATTCTCCTGCCATGACCAAGTCGTCCTCGCCCGGTGGTCCAACTGCCAACCCATTCGAGTCAAGACCACCACCAGAGTCATGTAACAGGGTGTCAACGTCTTCTATCATCGGGCAAGGAAAATTCGCGAGGTTCATGTCAGCGTCCTGTGGGAAGTCCAAGGCCAGGTAACTAAACATGTCGACACTCTCAAGAGCGTGGTATGTGACTGCGGTGCTAGGAACGTCGTCGGCAAGGGTGTCCTGTGCCTGTTGTTGAGTGGTCAGCGAGCCCGCATTGCTGTTGGACGACGACTGATCAGTAAGGGCAAAGTCCTGGGCGCTGGAGGCGGGTGTATATGCCACGGAGCGACTACGCGCCCTTGCAGATAGCCCAGTAGGCTCACGGGGTTTACGATAAGGATAAAAGCAGGTTGCGGCGGTCCTGATGCAAAGAGAACATTCTGGGCGCCTGCCGTCGCACTTTGTCTTCTTCTTCGTACAGTTCTCACAAGCACGGTTCAGGCTTGGTTGCCGGCGTTGAGCCATTGTCGGGGAATGCTTATGGTGCAACAAACGCTCGAGGTTGAAGCCGGGATTTCGGGCAAAGAAATAGCAAGGTGAAAAGGCGAGGGACAGTTCCGGACCCAGGGGTTACCAGATCATGGAGAAGCGGGGGGCCATGACGGAGAAGCGAGGGTTACATCAGAGCTAGGAACCCCTGCATGGTATTTACCAATACTCCGTAGAAGCGATGACTATGGCATCAGTCAGCATGAATGTATGCCGGGCATCAATGCCGGGGAAGGGCATCGTGGAAAGCTAGTGAAACAAGCGCAAAGCTACCCGTCTCCAGGTCCCGTCTCCAGGTCCCCGAATCATCGGAGGATGACTAATAGCATATATTTCAAACCCTGGTGCCACAGTGCGTTTGTCAATGTGAAAAGAAAGTGACGTTTATTAATAATAAAAAACCATGTCTCCAGTCGCTTGCAAGGTTGGAAAGCATCCTTAAGCCCTGAGCAGTGCTGCAACGCACCACTGAAGAGGCGGTGTACGGGGCGGCGCCCACGCCGCAATGATCAGCAACGCTACCCTGGCATCCCCCGCAGCAAAGACACTCTAGATACCTTGAATCTAAATTGGAGAAGAAAGCAATATCCGCGGCTCTATTCTATAGCTTCGCGTCTAAGTACTTAGTCCTCTGCCTTTCCCTGTCGCGCAAGACACGGCGGAGAATCTTGCCGGATGGGCTTTTTGGAATAATGTCTATGAATTCCACATCAGCGAGCCTCTTGTGACGAGCCTTGACTTTCTCGACGTGTTTGATAATGCTTTGCTTGAGGTCAACTTGGTCGCATGTGTCAAAATCTGGGGACTTGACAACAAAAGCTTTGGGTAATTCACCTGCACGTTCGTCAGGTACCGGAATGACAGCGCAGTCGGTAACGGCTGGGTGCTCCAGGAGGCATCCTTCGAGCTCCGCAGGTGCGACTTGCAGACCCTACGGCGACGAGAAGTTAACAGAATTGGTCTTCTCGAGACAGTCGAATGTCATATATCGACGTACCTTGACCTTGATCAATTCTTTTATTCGATCCACAACCCAGATGTGTTCATTGCCGGCAGGGCTCAAACGTATTTCAACCTCATCGCCGGTCTTTAGATAGCGGCCGTCGGGCATATCGATAAAAGTCTCCTCGTTGGCTTGTGGGTTGTTCAGGTACCCCAGCACGACGCTGGGAGATTTTATCAACAGCTCTCCCGGCTGATTATATGCCGTGATCTCCACGCCTTCTGGGCTGAGAAGCTTGGCTTCAACGCCAGGCATAATACAACCGGAAGATCCCAGCCAGATATCCCAGGAAGGGGAGCTGGCCACTGCCGTTGCCGTTTCAGTTAAACCGTAGCCTTGTCTTATCACCCAGCTGCCATGCTGCGAAGAAAGCTTCTGAGCCACTTCTCTACTGAGTGGAGCGGCTCCACTCAATATCTGCTTCACGCTGGTCAAGTCGTAACGATCGCAGAGCGCCTTCTGCTTGGTCATGGTTATGATGATCGGAGGTACAATCGGCAGTGTGTTGATCTTGTACGCCTCGATCGTGGAGAGAAAGGCCCTAATGTCGAATTTTGGCAGAACAACCATACTATCGCCCCTGTATAATCCAATGTGGCAAACGGCCACGAGGCCGTAAATGTGCGAAAACGGCATCAAACCGACCGTCACATCACGCCAGTTAGGTTGGATTGCGTCGCGCATCGGCTGCTCGTAAACCTGTAGTTGCAACACGTTGGCAATGACATTGTAGTGAGAGATCATGACGGCCTTGGGAACGCCCGAGGTACCGCTAGAGAAGCAGAGGAATGCGGTCTGGCGTGCGCCTTGTCCCTTCGCCCACGCGAGAGCTTCTAGGGCAGGTAAGTGGCGGCCTTCCTCTATCAGTTGCGACACAGTTCGAAAGTCCCGGGGATATGAATGATCGCCGGGCATTTCACAGAGAATGATGTGGCCTTTGTTGACCTTGTGCTTCTCAGCGGCTTCTAATGCGACAGGCAGTAACGACGCAACGGTGAAAATAGCCTTTGCTCTCGAAGTTTCGAGTTGGTGACGAAGTTCATCGGCGCTGTAAACCGAGTTGGCTGGTGAAGATAGACCGTTGACGCGATGAAGAGCCCACGATATAGTCATGGTATCGATCTATGATCCGTGAGCAAGGTGCAAGAGACCAGGTACCTGTGAGAGGCTGAACCACGTACCGTATTGGGGGCGAAGATGACTGCCACCTTGTCAAACTCAGTCCCTTCATTCACGTTCCATGCGAAATGTTTCGCCAACGCCCGTGCAAGGTGGTCGACGCGATCTTTCTGCTCCTGCGGCGAGATTCTCTTCCCGCTGATCCCGCAGATGAATGGGTCTAATGACTCGGCCATTGGACGTCTGCCGTATCTCTCGTCAAAGATAAATTCGCATAGTGGAACAGTGTCTGGGATGGGCGGGAGGCTCCAGACCGTCGCGTCAGCACGGAACACCATTATGCAGAATATAAACTCTAGCAGAAATCTGTGCAAAGTTGCCTGTGACCAGAAACAGGAGTATGTACCAGATGAGATAACTGGGGAAGTATTGCTGAACCTGGCTTTCCTGCAGAAGAATCTAGCAGTTATTACTGGGTTCCTAAGCGGTGGAAGACGAACATGAGCGTGTGGAGACCGGGATTATATTTCCACATTGTGCCCCGCCACGGGGTTTGACTTAATGCCGGTATTCACGAGCCGTGGTCGAAGCAATGGCGTTAGGTGAGACCTGCGTGCATTGCCCAAGCCTCCGGCCTTTCGTAACCCTCCTAGCATCATGGCCATTGTTCGATTACTCCTCTTGGCTGCACGAGATTGACTGGTAGACCAGACCATGGAATTCGATTCCCAATTCAAGGCTGCGCGCGTGAGTATTCCGTGACTGTCGATTTGGCTTATGTTTGTAATCTGTGGTGCACACCCCACCCCCTCCTTCAAGCAGGTCTAGCACGTTTATCCGATGGGTAATCCGCTTTGTGAATGTTCATAATATTGATACAAAGTACAATAAATGTACAGTGTCATGGAATTCCTCCGTCTCAAGCTTCCCTTTCCAGAGGGATGTCCCTTGAAGCCTTCTTGACATCGTACACCCATACCCAGTTACTCGTGGGCTTATATGTAGGGTCCTTCTTGTCATGCCAACTCCGGGCGTCCCTCGTACCGTTTTCAACTACGTTAATACAACGCGGCTTCCTTAAATTCTGGAACGTCCTCAATATCCGCGGCACGTCAGCTTCGGTATCCGCCCGCGCATGCAACTCCGCAATCGCAGCACCGTCCTCAATTCCCATGGCTGCACCCTGTGCCGCCGACGGAATCATAGCGTGCGACGCATCGCCAATCAGAACGATCATGTCGCCGGGGAAAACCCAGTCTTCTAGTGGGTTGAGATCGCAGAGACGCCATTCCAGAACGCCATCTTTGGGCAGGTGCTTCGTGAAAGCCACCACACGCGGGTCCCAGTCTTTGTACTCCTCCAGCACTTCGGCCGGGTCCACTTTGGTGACATATTTAGAGCCAAGAGAGCGTTTCAATGGTTGAGTGTACACTACGTTGTAATCCTGGCCGCCACGAATGGGATAACCTAGGACGTGACGGCCTTGGCCGACCGTGGAGAAAAGTAAGTACAGAGTATATTTGATGAGCAACGAAATGAACGGATAGAAAGCCGACACTCGAAAGGGAAGGCCCGTACATGTGAGCAAAAAGACAAGAGAAATGAGATAAGGGTAAAGTGCCAATGATCAACATACCAACAATAACTTGACTGGAGGTTGGAATCGATCAGTTCTCGAAGTTCCGGATGTTGAGCAAGCGTATTGGAAGGAATTAGAGCGCGGTAGGCAGAAAATCCATAGTGACGAGGCTCATCCTTTCTGCCGAGGAGACTCTCTCGCGCAGGAGATCTGTAGCCTGAATTCCGTCGCGAAACAACGCGTTAGCCATTAAGGGTCATACATTGTAGCGTATTTTGCAAGAGTTGGTTCTCTATGCGTTTCTTGGACTCACCATCAGCGGCCACCATAACATCCGCATTGAGCACGGTCCCATCCTCAAGCACCACCACCGGGGCGTCCCAGTCGTAATTCTTGACCAAAACACCCATCCTGATTGTGACACCCACTTCCTGGGCCTTTTTCAAGAGGCATGTGTGCACATCGGCGCGATGAACCTGCCACGACGGACCCCCCTCGGCAGGACTCGCATGGGCAGGGTACTCCTGGGTGGTCATAGCCTTGCCATCGTCCCATGTCAGGAAGATCACACGCTGCATGTGGGTTGAGCAAGCCTCCATTTCGGCTTCTAGGCCCATGCCAATGAGGACGTTAGTCACATTGCCGGACAGCATGATACCAGCTCCAACCTAGCAGAAACGAGTCAAATCCCACACTTCACGAGGTTCGTTTTACGCGGCTTCACTCTGCCAAGGCCAGCTCCGGAGCCTACTCATGACCGATGGAAGAGCACTCACATAACTGAAAGAGGACGATGCCTCGAGGGCCGTGACAGTGAATCCCTTTTTCCTGCAAGAAATTGCGGTGGTTAGACCTGCGATGCCGCACCCGACAACGAGAACGTTGAATTTGGGGCTCTCGTGGCCATTGCTCTGAGATTGGATGGCGGCCATGGTGATGAAAGACGCGTTACTTGTTCCGAGGTTTCTTTCCCTTCTTCCTATTGACTACGATTGTAACTTATTTCCACCAGAAGGGCGCGGGCCGCCATGATCACTGGCGGACCCATATGCAAGGTCTGAGGCAGCTTTTCGAGTTCTATTGTAGGACTGAACACTTACATTCGGAGCAATTGGTCCTAAATAAGATATATCGGTGGGTACCCTTCACCCTTAAGATGTACAAGCTTCGGTTAATGGCAAGTGGTGATTGTAGTGCCGACCGCTATGGGGCTCTAGATGCTGCGCAGCCAGCTTATTTCGACAGGTCAGTGTCGTTCATCAACCAGTTACCTTCAGAGGCCCTCTTTCACAGCGAGGGCTTCAACGCCATGGGCACAGTCGTCAACCTTAATGAAACTCTTCGCGCTTGCATTCACGCACTTGAGAATGCCATAAGCTTTTGGTTTGATGCGGAGGTCTCTTCTTATTGTGGGCAAACAAGTCGAAAAGGTAGGGGCTCTGACAAAACCAAGAGCGGTCCCTAGCAGAAGCCGTCCGTGTTCGACATGTACTAACCGAAGTTCAATATACTCTCGCCTCGGCGAAGTTTCAGCAGAGATCCGACGATGACTGGGAAAGTCAGTTCTCAGAATTGCCCCGAGTCACGCTTATTCTCTACTCATTAGCAATCTTGAACGAGCGGCCGGCTTCAACATCGGTTGGTCAACAGGTTACCAGCACATTTCGATCCGTTTTCACAAATTTAAAATGCCCACCGCAAAATAGTGCTCAAGACCCAGTACCAACATCACGGCTACTGCCGCTGCCCGTTGACTTTTGCCTTTGGGCATTCTTCCTTGCAGCCAGCGTGACCAAGTCTACTCACTCTGACACAAAGCATTGGCTCTTAAAGTCATTTTTGGAGTTCAAGTCGTTTCGTTACGGAGACAATCACGATTGGCGGGAGTCGAGGTCACGCTTGAGTCGGTATTTATGGTTGTCGAGTATTCATGACTCCGGGTTTCGGTGGTTTTGGTTTGAGGCAGTGGAAGTGAGACGAAGACAAGATTTAGAATGTTTCTTCAAAGAGACTACTGGAGGAAAAGCAGGACGAGAGTCGAGTTGGCAAGGCGCCTTAAGACATGATTAGCCCCCCTCAGCCTGAGTTCTAGCGTCCTTACCCTCACTGAGAACAACTCAACTAAGAGTAGAGGAGCTTATGGTTTCGAGGCTGGTCCATATTGTATTTTGAGGACCCCGTGCCAAGCTATTGTGGCCTACGGCACTCCCGTTAGGCAGCTTTCCCGGAAGGTTCAATGTATCATCGAGCTTCTCACTAGCTGACACCTAGATATTTTAGATATTTCTTTCTCATATAGGTAATTAACGGCCTTTTGTCCTCTATATTTTCACTGCACTTATTCATCCCTCCTTCCCCAACAGACAAGCTGGACAACAATCTCATCCCGTACCACAAGTCCATTTATCATCGGCTTCCTACACAACCGCCGAGATGATAAGTGATACTACCTCTATTCAAGAGAGACACCTCCAATCAACCGGTGCCATCCGCGAAAGCATCTCATTCTCCGTCGCCACCATACTTAACTTCGCCTGTGCATTATAAAACTGAGCCTTAGACTTGTCGAATTCCCTCCCAATGCCCTCAAGAACCATCGTCCCTCCAGTCCCTAGCAAGAAAGCCTCGCTAGAACCTCCTAGGTATTGTACTATCTATTCTACCCCCGATGAGGGAACCTAATGTTTGAATCTATTGCATTTTCGTTGTGCACGTCACTGTTGCCAAGCCCACGTTTGGGTTTCAAGCTTATTCTTTTCCATTTGCCGGAATCCTGTCTAACCTTTTCGCCCCATTCTAACCTTTATGAACTAAGAGTCACAAATCCCACGACCCAATCTAACGCCCCAAGATCCCCAACGCCCATATTGACCCTCACCCCAATCCGCCCTCTAGCCAGCGCCCTAGCTAGCTATCATCTGCACCACCTCTACGCAACGCAGCAGCTCCTCGAACTAGGGCTCGGAAGCCTTTCCGCCGACGTCGTCGATGAATTCCCGCCCGTCGTGATTCTGCCGCCTGTCTTTAAAGGCTCTGGCCAACCTTAGCAGAGCGGCCTTCTCTATCCGGATGAAGCCGAGGTCAATGCCAACGACCCTGTTTCCTTGTGGATCGACCCTTTTGCTATCGTCTAGAAAGAGATTGCACCCGAAGATAGCCAAGGCAATTTATTGGCTTGTATTTAGCTGCGCTGCTTAATTAAATAGGTAGCTTAGAAGTCTATATTTCTATAAAAATAATCCATATACTCTATATTTATTCCTCTTCTTATTATCGTTGGGATTGTATAGATATTGAATATTATATTGGCAGGTGCTTCTATATTGGGGCTATGCAGGGTTTCTCTTGGCCTTTTTGAAGGGGGCTTCGCAGATTATTGGAGTAGTTATTATATAAGTTTGATAGATTTGATGATTATTGGAAGGGAAGTTGGCCTCTTGACGACAAGAGATATCAGTCTCTCTTATATTATATTACTTAGGATAAGGTTATTTTCTCAAGATTATTAATAGCAGATAGCAAGATTGTTAACTATAGATAGCAAGATTAAAGATAGAAGAGTTAAATTAAAGCTTAAGACAAAAACCAATCTATAATAATTTTACTGCTAAGCTACTATCTCTTCTAATACTGAGTATAGCACTAAATATTTATTTTTATTATTATTAAACTTTTTTTTTTAACTTTATTTAATACTATTAGATAGATTAAAGTCATTCAGTATTTTTAAACAATAGAAACAAACAGTTAGTACTACACCCAGTAACGGAAGAGATAGTAGCTAAACAATAAGGTTGTTGCACACTGGTCTTTGCCTTAAGCTTCAATTCAACCCTTCTGACTTCAACCTTGCTGTCTGCAGTCAACGACCTTGCTGTCTGCAGTCAATGACCTTGCTGTCTGTAGGTAACAACCTTGAGACAGTAACCTTATTCCGAGCAATAAGATATAAGAGAGACGCCTCCCGTCGTCGAGAGGCTAACTTTCCTTGCAACAATTATCCAATTTCTTCAACTTCCATTATGGCTACAATTACCTCTATTATTTATAAATACTGTATAGCTTTGATCTATCTAATGATGTTAAGTAAAGCTAAAAAATAAAAAAAATCCTATCTATTCTAATTGCTGTTTACTCCTTCAAGGACGAGTTGCTAGCACAATAGCAAAAAGAAAGTGTTTTTTTCTTCTATACAATTTTTAGCATTTTTCAAACCCAATACTTCCAAAGTTGTCAGTCTTACAATGAACATTCAGTGGTGCTTTGTCCAGGACGACCTTGGCCGCGGTGATGTCGTAGGAGGCCACGTCTCCTTGCGCGTCCTTGATCGCATATACAGCAAGATCACCCTAGTCCGGCTTTCGGCCGTTATTGTCCGAGCCGGTCAAGGTCACCACATTGGGGAACACCTTCTCGTACTTGTCGTGCAGCTTCACGGAAGGCAGGTTCTGCGCCTTCATTGCCCAGTCCGCTGGCGGTGCGGGGAGCGACGATATCTTAAAGGCGGCCGAGTTCGCACCGCGAGAGAGCGCCTCCTTCGAGGCAGAAGAAGCCTCCGCAGGCACGGACTCCGCGGGCACAGACTCCGCGGCCGCAGCCTCTCCTCCGTTCAGCTGATTGCTATTAGAAAAAGGCATCGGCATCGAGCCCAGTGTGTCTCAGTCCGGCCCAAAGTGGCAAAGCTCGGGCGTGTCCTCGCCTCCGCCGAGGGTGGCCGTGGCTTCGACACCACTGTACCCCTTCATCTGGTAGAGAGGAAATGCATTCTTGATGTCATGGCCGTAGTTGTTGCCCTCGGCGTATGAGAAGGCCGTACAGGCCTCCCCGGGGCTCGCAGGGTGGAGGGAAATTTGTCATTACTTCATCTATGGCTGGGTTTTAGCAAGTTGATCTGGATCTTTGAAGTACTGGATATCGACAGTGTTACACCTTTGGACAGATCTTCACCAATAAACCCATGATATATGGCACCCAAGCATGGCCGCATCGGCCTTGCCAGGAGCGCAGGCGCTGCCCTCAAATCCCAAAGCGTTACTGTCAATTGCATCTGCCCTGCATTCGTTATTACAGGCCCATGTCCACGCCTCAATTGTTGACTTATTCCCTCGGAAGCACATTACGTGCATGAGCACCCACCATCACGAGTCACCGAGTGCTAATATGTGGAACCTGATGGATGGTGCATTCTCGACCTTATCTAGCCAGTAGAGTGCCCCCCCCATGTTATACCCCTTTTAGAATAGGTCTTTTGAGAACAGGGGGAGATGCTTTGACAGTAGGAACGTCGAGACGCAACTTTGCCAGCACCCCCGGACGAGGAGAGAAAAACAACCAAGCAAGAGTGCCGGTGCTCATGAAAGCGGAATATCAAATTGCAATAGCGGCCGACTAGTTATCGACGTAACCTGGGGAGTGGCCTCTTTGATTGGCGTGATAGGGGGCCCCTGAGTCGGAAGCTAGTTCATCGTGCGCGGAGGCGAGGAAGCGGAGGGAAACTTTGGTGGTACTACGTAGGACAAAATTATCCTTTCTTGTTCCTCCTTCTCCTTCCCACTCAGCGAGTTAACTGCCCCCGCCGTCGCCAGACCAGACATGCAGACCAGACATGCAGACCAGACATGATCCGGCCATCAAGCATCAATCGGGCATGCGAGGAGTGCAAGCGGAAGAAGACGAGATGCGACGGACATCGACCAGCCTGCGGTCTCTGTTCTCGGGCGGGGTTCACCTGTGCTTATCCGCGCCGAAAGCCTCGTGAACAAGGAAGCCAGCGCAAGACGCAAAACGCTCGTGGTGAGGGCCATCAACGCTGCAATCCTAAACTTAGCCCACCGTCTAACTAATCTTGCGAAAGAAGCGCTGCCTTCCAACCGAAGTGGGGAGGTGGCTGATCTCAACCAGCGACGTAGAGACCCAAGTAGGGCAGAATGCGCTCAGCTCACGCCCAACAGAGCGGACTCCGATACTGGAGACGACGACAACGAGGATACCATAATGGTACAGGCGCCTGCCTTGCTTTCAGACGCCGAGTCGACACAATGGTTGCTAGCCGATCAGGACATGTTCTCGTACCTTAGCACCGCAGTACCGGATATTTGGACGGTCCACGACGTTTCTGCCTTTGACCCTTCTATGCTGGAACATTCCCGTGCCCATCTTGCCCGACGACGCCGCCTCGGATCTGGTCTTGACGCCCGCAGACACTGGGCAGTCCCCCGCGTTGCGGATCGGGGATGCAGCGGGCAAAGGCAGTCAAACCTCCGTGATAACCCAGCATAATGCCATCGAGTCCCGATCGAGGCGATATGTCCTCGATGTCCCGCCAGAACTGGTCGTCTTTCTGTGGGTCTAATTCATTAGAGCTGATGGGAAGGGATCTAATAACGTGCAGCACCAATCTTTACTTTCAAAGAGTTCAAGCCTTCTTACCGCTGTTCCATCGACCGACATTCTACCAGAACTACGTCGATGACGAACTTGGTACCAAGTCCGAGAACCTGTCCGAGGACTTGGCCATCATCCTCTATGCCATGATGGCGCTATCCGCTCGATACCATCCATGCCCCTATTATGGCGATGCACCAAGTAAGGACCGCGGAGTCCGGTTCGCCGAGAGAGCTCAGGCCATTTATGACGAGCGCAGCAACGCCAACCGCCAGGAACCTAAGTCGCTGCGATGGCTACAAGGATGCATTCTCTTGAGTTTCTACAACCAAGCTTGCAAGCCCAAAGGGGGCGGCGACTCCGAAATCCAGTATTGTGTGCGATATGCGTACCAGCTGGGGCTACATAAGCTGGACAAACCTCAACCAAACCAGCCGCAATTGGCCGAGACCGATGCCGAGCAGTGGATACGACAAGAAGAACAACGGTGCACGTGGTGGTCAATCTGGGAGCTTGACTGTTTTAATGCAGTCACGGATCGTTGTCCGCTGCGTATCGGCCGCAAGAACATGCATGTCTTCCTCCCAGTATCCGACACTGCTTGGTTTAATGGCAGCCCTATGGACTCTTCGCTCTTCAGCGCCGATGTCATGCTCACATGGAAATGCCTTCGTGACAGCCCCAACCGGGACGAGTATGCGTGGTTTCTGATTGGCAACTACATTTTGATCAAGGCTCATGAGCTCGGACAACAGAGGACTTCATCTTGGGAAAGCATTGATATCCTGGAAATGGTACTATCCTCGTTTGCGCTTCTGTTCTACGAAGTCTTCTCGGGCTCTACGGGACGCTTGGCGTTTAGCGAATCGACGTATGCTAGGAATAATTGGCTGATATTTACCCGACTGAGCATACAGTCGTGAGTTCCTGTCACCCTTCTTGAGCGAGCGGAACCTTGGCTAATGTCTTTGCCATTTCAGGGCTCGTACTATTATCGCCCTCCTCAGGGAGCACATGTCTGCTGATCCCATCTTCACCGCCTCGAACCGCTTCCTGGACCACCGAGGCGCAGTTACATGGCCTAAAATGGGACCCGTCAACGTCATGGCGGATCCTTATCGGCCCATTATGCATGAGGTCTCGCACTTGTTCCAGAACTGGGCCCAGTGTCCCGAATATATCACCTACGCACCCCCAGCCATGGTCGGCGTCGTGGTGGGCGTTAAATGGATGAATTTCCGTCTCACTCATCATTTAGGCAACAGACCTGCGTCGGGAAGCGATGAGTTTCAGCCGACGATCCAGGAGGACCTGCTGGTCCTCGTGCTGAGCCATATGGCCCGGTACTGGAGTCTCGGAAGTCTTCTATTAAGTAAGAGATCCAGCCCCAAGTAGCTCAAGACAGTGCTCTGATCGGTATTCTCAAGCATTTGCAGGTACATCACGAGACAAGTATACTACGTGGAGGAGGAAGAACACAGCCTCCGGATGAAGACATCGGCTTTCGTAAGCGAGCCTAATGCTCGCTACCTGACTCATTGTTCATGAAATTCTGGCTTTCAAATCTTTCAGAAGGAGGAATGTTGCTAGCTAGTAGAAGCGAACTTATCAAGGCAGTCAACCTCGGCTATTGGCGAAGCTGTGGTACTCAGTCTTGATGACTGTCTGTTTTCTGCACGCCATCGCCAAAAAGAGGCATCGACCGACCCCCTCACGAAAGGTGGCGCGTCCATGTTTTTGTCCGCATTTGCTAGCGTGGTTCGGCACCACGGGTTTTGGAAACCCCGTGTCCACAGTCCATAACCCCGGATCCAAAGTCCACAACCCCGGCCGGTTTTCATCTACTTCCGCAGGCTGTGCGGGATCTCCGGGCCATGTTTGAGTCGAAGGTAATCCCGAGCCCGGGAGGTCAAAAGGCGCTCGCCTTGCGACGATAATTTAATACCTACTCTGGTAACTCAGACGAATCACCATCGAATCAGCAACACCCAAGATCAAGTCCAATCGTTCTGAGCCTCCTCGTGACTACACCAATACAATGGCGTCCCTACCTACCAGTGACCCTGCACCGTTTGACACCAGGACATTCCACTGGACGGACGCAAAGTCAACCAAGCCCACCCGACCTGAAGATCCCTATACCTATCTTCAAGGCTTTGGCAATGAGCACCAGTCGGAGCTCATCCCCGGGGCGCTTCCGATAGGGCAGAATTCGCCCCAGAAATGCCCGTATGGCCTGTATGCAGAACAGATCACGGGCTCGTCCTTCGCGGCCACTCGCCACTCCACTGCGAGAAACTTTGTTTATCGCCGTCGCCCTGCGGCTGTACACGACGAACAAAAGGTCATTGAAGGGAACAGCACTCTTTGTGCCTCCTTCTTGCCTGGTGGCGGGCGGCTGCAGTCCACCCCGTCTCAGTTCTCATGGAAGGCATTTGGTATTCCGCCAAAAGACGGTCCTTCGGTAGATTTCACTCAGGGGCTTCACACTCTTGGTGGCAGTGGGCATCCCAACCTCCGCGAGGGCATTGCTTATCATGTATTCACCATCAATACCAGCATGCCAAACAAAGCTTTTGTCAATAGCGATGGAGACTTCTTGATTGTTCCCCAGGAAGGCCACTTGGACATCACTACTGAGTTTGGCCACTTGTATGTCCAACCTTCTGAGCTCGCTGTGATCCAACGCGGGCTCCGTTTCAAGGTCGATCTCGTCGATAAGCATTCTCCAGCAGGTGGCCGTGGTTACGTGATCGAGACCTGGGGAACAACATGGGAACTCCCTGAGCTCGGTCCCCTAGGGGGGTACGGACTAGCAAACGCTCGCGACTTTCTCTTTCCGACTGCAGATATAAACTTGACATCTTCAGGACCTTGGACTATTATTACGAAACACACCGACAAGTACTATGCCATTTCACAGGGACACTCGCCATTCGATGTAGTTGCCTGGCATGGCAACTATATCCCTTATAAGTATGATATGACTAAGTTTGTCTACCAAAACTCCGTCTCTGTGGACCACACGGATCCATCTATCAATACTATCCTTACCGCTAAATCTCGCGATGAGCAAGCCCCCTTGTGCGACTTCCTTGTTTTTGGTCCCCGCTGGGATGTTGCGCAAAACACTTTCCGTCCACCCTACTTCCACCGAAACTGCGCCTCTGAGTTCTTGGCCAAGATCTACGGCAGTTCTGGAGGCGGTCGCTCGGAGCTGTTTGTACCTGGCGGCGCCAGTTACGAGGCCGGGTTTACACCTCATGGGAACGCTGACCTACGAACCATGGCTGCTATGACGGCGGAGCTGAAACCGATGCGTGTAGGAGAGAAGCAGTTGACAATAATGCTGGAAAGCTGCCGGAGCTTGCTGTTTACAGAATGGGCTCTCAAAGACTCCAAAGCACTCGTCGCGGAGGATATCCCAGCTGATGCTTGGGACTTAGTGCCGGTAAGTCAAAGAGACCTTTCAAATGTCACTATTAGTGCCTATCTCCTGACACCCTCAACAGGACAATTTTGGGAGACATCCCGAGGCCCTGGAGCATCTACGAAGACTACAAAACCGGGGTAGTGGTAGAGCCTCCCCGGATGCTGAAAAGGGTCAGTAGGTTACGAACAGTGCTACCATGGGTGTATAAGTTGTAGAAAAGCACCTACGGCCATCTCCTCAAATTGGTTATCCATAACCTCATGAAGTCTTCATGGGTATCATTTGCCGGGCAGTTATAAGTTTGAATGTTCAAGTTAGTAGATTTGAACGCTCAATATAATTCAGCCTCCATTTCCCTCAACTGTTTGTATACAGTCTCTTCCGCCTCGGGATTGTTCATTGTGTATGTCTAATCGCTGCGGTGTTGCAACTGGGGCGGGGGAAAAGCATGCTGAATGAACATGCTTGTAGCACATTAGAGTTTGTTTTTATTGTTGCTACTGTTGGTGTACTTCTTAGAATCAAGTCCTAGCCCAACAGGCAAGAGGATCGAAATGGTCGAGATTGACAGGCCTGTGGTGATCCTATTGACAAGACTCTTGGGCATGGTTTGGTTATTTCCCTTTCGTTATCCGTAAACTGTTTTAAATTTTTCTTTCAAAGCTCTGTAATTGGATGGTTACAGGATTTCTAGTTCAATTGTCTCACTGCGTGATATTCAAGCAATTATCACGGCATTCCTCGCTGCGCCCTTGGCATCATAGTCCCAGGACCAGGTCGTGCTTACCTCCGTCCCTGCATCTTTGCCATGCCATGCATCTGCATCTATCCGCGCTCCCGTCATGATAGCCGTACATCTTGGCTTCCTAAGTTCCTCGAAACTTGCTAGGGCGGCAGGGATCCCAGATACACTCTTTGCTCGTGACAACAACTCAGCGACGGCTGCGCCGTCCTCGATTCCCATCCCCGCGCCTTGAGCTGCAGATGGAAGCATAGCATGGGAAGCATCCCCCAGAAGGACAATTCTTCCTCCCGGGAAGATCCATGACTCAAGGGGCGCCAAGTCGCAGAGCCTCCATTCAAGGACGTCTTTCGGGAGGTGTTTGAGAATGGTCATAAGCCTTGGTTCCGCATCATAGTTCTTCAGAACTTCGGACCTGTCGATCTTAGCGACGTATTTGGAGTCCTTGGTATGTACTGCTGGCTGAGTTGTTACGATGTTGTAGTATTCTCCTTGACGGATGGGATAAGCTACAACGTGTTTGCCCTCACCAACCCTGTTCCGCAATAGTCAGCTTTAGTTCAGGCTGAGGCACGATAGATTTGCCCCTTAACCCACCACACATGAGTTGTTTGTGCCTCCCAGGATATATAATCCTCAAGTTCAGGAATCTGCTTCAAGGTCTCACATGGAATGAGAGCGCGGAATGCAGAATTTCCACTCGGTCGCGGTTCGCTAATCCCACCAAGCAGACTCGATCTAGCAGGGGAGCGATATCCTTGGTCACGTTGTGAGTAATTGGTTCACAATACCATGTTGAAATGAAACATAGTGACTTGAAGGTGAAGCAACATACCATCCGCCGCAAGTATCACGTCTGCTGTCAAGACCGTGCCTTCCTCTGTGATGACGGCAGGCTTTGAGGGATCGTAGGCCTTGATTGGAATTCCCATGCGGATCTGAACTCCCAGCTCTCTTGCTCTATTGAGAAGCACTGTATGCAGATCCGCCCGGTGCATCTGCCAGAGAGGCCAGCCAATCTTAGCTTGAAGCTCAGAAAATTCCATCACCTGTAAAGTCTTTCCATCCTGTAAATCGACAAAAACGGTCCTTTGCTGTTGAGCCGCGTATTTCTCCATCTCTTCTTGAAGGCCCATCTCACAGAGGATGCGAGTAGCGTTGCCTCCGAGAAAGACACCTGCACCGACCTGTATCTTTGTGAGCATTTCAGTCCTGCAGAAGGTATACTTTCATTGGCACTTACGTGGGTAAACTCGGGAGATGCCTCAACTACCACGACATCGAACCCTTGTTCTCGACAAGAAATGGCAGCAGAAAGTCCGGCGACACCGGATCCAACGATCAAGACATTGAATGTCAAGGCGTCAGATGCGGGCGACTCGCCAGGCAATGATGGCTTTTCAGCAGAACCCATTATCTCTGAATGCGATTGTCTAACTCCCAAACATGCTGGTTTGCGCGTCCTCTACATCCCAGGATCAAAGGAGCCCATTTGTACCTGCTCATTCCCGGAATCTGCGAAGACGGGGTTTTCCGGCATTTCAACGCCAATCACAAAGACGTGGGTTAAACTCCGGGGTACTCAGGACAATTGTGGGGCCTCCGGACTTTGCGGAAGAAGATACACAGAGTCCGGAAATACACGATCCGGAAATACACGATCCGGAAATACACGACCCGGAGTAATCCGTACAATTTACCCAATTTACCCCAGTCTTGAGAGGAGTCCCCAGCAAAGTTCCGCTCGAAATTCTCGCGGTTTTCAGTTGTCGTATGCGACTTTCTACCCACACCCAATCCTGTGTCAAAACTCATGTAAGGAGGGAGCATTTTTAGCATAAGCTCCATTTCCATACCATGGCATTTCTCTACTATGGACCCTAACGCTTAAAGTATTGCCCCACGGTCGAAGAATCCGAAATCCCATTCTCAAAAGCCGAACTGTGCCCAGCAACTTCAATGACATTAATGACGTCAGCATCGCGGCCATTACCTCATTCCTTAATGTGCTCATCTAAGCCCTGGCGGTTGGTTTGATAATTCCAAGGCTCAGCGCCAGGCTTTTAACTATAGACAGGCGAGAATCGACGCCGTCAATGGCTAGGATAACCCATAGCTTGAACTCCAAGGCGGCAATTAATGCACAAAGATCCACCGGGTGGCATCCTAACAAAACGACGATGCTGTCGTGAACAGTTCGCGAGTTCAATATGCCCAATACATTGTTTGCAGTGACGAAGTTTGTATGGAAGATGTCTGCCATGAGACATAGCTTCGGGCCTTCGATGCCTTGAGGCGCCCTGGCCAGATTAGTGTCTGCAAGTAGCACCCTAACGACTTCGGCCACAGCCCCGTCTAGCAGTAAGTATCCAAAGAGGGTTCCCTTCTCGCATCGCAAGGAAAAGCTTTGGAGACAATAGAAACACGTTCCACAGCCGAGTGTGAGCGGGCTGACAAGGAAGTCGCCAGGCTTCAACTTCTAGGCGCGTAAGAGGCGGCGCCTGAGGAGTCCAACCTGTGCCGCGGCCTGTCACTAAAATGTTGATTGCGTGTGCTCCAGAGACTTAAGAATTCTAAATAAAGAGATTATCCCCAATACTGTCCTGCATTGAAGAACAGACGAAACGCTCGGCATCGCTCTTGTACCGAAGCAGCCCAATTCCCCGTCCTTTCCCCGAATCCCGGGTTACATCCCGACGGAGACAGGCGCCTCGGCACGGCACATAGTTATTTGGTGTTGCGGAGAAGTCGAGACCCATTGCACTGCTTATGTTACCGTCATCGCTCTAACCGTTACGCCACAGGGCAAAAGATTGGGCATTGATCGCAATTGTAGCAATCAATGAGGTGCACCGCCAGCTGCGTCATCAACTGTCCGGGGGACCAGGTCATGACAGTGAAGTGTCGATCCTGGTACGTGCAGTGGTTTATATAGGGAAAGTGTCACATTCAGTATATGGTATTTGCACTACGTACTAGCGGCGTACGCATTCCCTTTTCCCTTAGCTGGAAATGCGACAGGATGATACCATCAGGAGGAGCATGAGTCCTTATGGAGAAATACCCCATTTCTCGTATGTTGCTCCTCCGCTTATTGAGAGCGTCTGGTTTAGTCATCCTGTATGCCTTATTTGCTGTCGTAGCCAACGCCTGCATCCAACGGGGGTTGTGTTGTATAAGACCGAGGGCCTGTCTTAGCATAGGATAACTTTTAAAAGCCCCTCTGTAATTTACCTTACTTCACACTAACTAAACTTAATTATCCATCCTACTGACCTGGTTCCGTTTATTTACAGTAGCTTATGTATTTATTCTAGCTGGAGAAGCTACTAAATAGTGCAAATTATATAGTATTTATACTTTAGTATACTTAAATACAACTAAGTGCTACTATTATATATACTACTAAGGTAAGTAGGGAGTTAGTTAACTATATATCTATATAGATATCTTCTTTAATCTATTTTAATTTGCTAATATAGATAGATTTATTAAGGTATAAATTATAGTACTTAAAGTATATTAATCTTAATAAAACATTCTAAAACTATCTGTATATAAATATATAATAATTATTTTTATAATTAAATTAACTTAGCTATAAATTATAAATTATAGTATATTAACTAATAATATAAATAAGTTTTTTATTACTACTACCACAGACTGCTCAGTTTATATCTAAGCTATAACAAATTATAACTAGTAAAAAGAAAGATTAATATAGCCTAGCTAAGTTAGAACTGGTAACATTAGTATAGTCTGTGCCTCTATATTAAGCCTCTATCTGTAATAATACATCACCCAACTCCTACTGCTAAATTCTCAAGCTAAAATTGCAAAAAGCCTTTAAGAATATCTGAAGAATACTATACAACCTATTCCTGAGAGTATGGCAATTAATCAGCTCGGCTGTACGTGCCGGGGAGGTCAGGCAGCAGCTGGCAGGGCTAGTATAGGCAGAAAATCTAAAAACAAGATAGCCGTCCTTGGACTGAGCAAGCAGACGGGCGTGCAGCAAGCTGGCTGCAGGAGTCAGCCTAGCGTACGGAGGCGGCGGACAGAGTGGGAGATCATCAATGACGACGAGGAGCTTGAGCATTCGCTGAAACGCAGACGCTAAAGCTTCTGTAAGCAGCCTGCCACTTTAACACCTTCAGTCGTGCTAAGTTTTAGTAGCAAGGGAAACTGTGAGGATTGTATCAATGTGCGAGTGTAATTAGGTCTACGAAACCGTTCCAGGAGGCAGTGCAGCCAGCATCATCTATGGGACCGAATGAAACAGTGTTTCATGCCTTCATCCCAACTTTGTCAGCTGCCAGTCAATCCCAGTTTTGTAGCTGCTTGTGCAATTGAGGGCTTATTTAATCCGCTCGAGTTTCGTAAGGAGTCTTTTCTCGCGGAACATAATGTTTCTACGCAACAAATTTGCCACGAGAAGCTTGTTTCCGTCCGTGGTAGACATCGTGTGGCTGACGAACGGGCCAGCGACAGAGCGCCTGTAACGCGGCGTCCGTAGCAAAGTGGTTCGGCGCGCATATCTATTGCCTAAAAATTAGAGGAAGGTGGTAATTCATCATAACCCTACCACCGGAAATAGTTCCTCCCGTTATACCAATCCGAATTCCCGTGACCTTGTCACGGTCTTAGAAAAGTCCGCGGAGGCCGGACTTGCTGTAATGCCGAGAGGTACGCGGAGAAAAACGTGGGGCCGGCTGTCCTTCTGGCATTTAGTGGTGATACGGTCCCATAACAGCGAACTGCTTTCATTAAAGCTCTGATTGCAAGATTTTTTTCAAAAACTCATCTTGCTACGATTCGCCCTTTGTCATGGTAATTATCACGACTCTCTCAATTCCAAAATGGCCAGCGAATCTCGACAATACGAGCTGGTTCTGCTCGGAGCAACTGGTTACACGGGCAGGCTTACGGCGGAGCATATCACCACTCACTTGCCAACCGACCTTAAATGGGCCATCTCCGGGCGCAATGGGACGAAGCTCACCCAATGTGCCGAGGAATTGAGGAAGTTGAACCCAGATAGATCTCAGCCTGGTAGGTCATGCTCCTGAGACCGGATCTCGGATCATCTCTACTCACGCCTATCCCAAGGTATCGAAATCCTTGAACTCAATAATGAGGAGCTTGATACTCTTGTTAGGAAGACCCGCCTAGTTATTACCACAGTTGGTCCATTCATGCAGTACGGCACGCCGGTTGTAGAGGCGTGTGCGAAGAATGGCACTCACTACGTTGACTGGTAAGGTAGATCTTCCCTGTATCACCTTCAGAAAGTCTAACAATTCACAGCACAGGCGAAGTCCCGTGGGTATTTGACATGATTAGCAAATATCATGACATGGCACAAGCCAGTGGTGCGATTGTAAGTCTCTCAGACGTTATTATATCATTTAGCCAACTGCACGTCCCAATCGGTTCCCATGTCATATGAAATTAGCATTTACTAACATACTAGTTACAAGATGATCCCTCAATCAGGATTCGATAGTGCTCCAGCCGATCTCATCGCCTTCGTTGTAGCCACGCATCTGCGCCGCACCCTCAACGTGTCAACGGCCGAAGTGCTCACATCTGTCGACGTGAGATCAAACCCCTCAGGCGGCTCACTCTTGACAGCACTTTCCATGTTCGACTTCTACAGTTCCTCTCAAATTGCCGATTCCTACAAACCATTTGCTCTCTCGCCCGTCCAACCACCTGTATCCAGCGCTCCGCCCTCTCAAAGCTTCAGGACAAATTTCTTCGGTACTCGATATGATAGAGAACTCGGATTCCTTGCCGACTGGTACCAATCAGCCATGGATACCGCTGTTGTGCAAAGGAGTTGGGGTTTGCTTGCCGGAGGGGAGGCATACGGCCCAAACTTTAGGTTTGGGGAGTGGATGGCTGCCAAGAGCAGCTTTCATGCAACTATGGTCCACCTTAAAATGGCGTTCGGCATGACCATAGTTTTGCTAAGCCCTGTTCGGTGGATATTGAAGAAGTTGGTGACTCGGCCTGGAGACGGCCCAGCGCCTAAGTAAGTGCTCTGTATCCCTTGATCAATCCCGCAATAGAGATCTGACTTTGAAATCAGGGCAGCCAAGAACGATTATGCCCATTTTAGGGCAGTTGGCGTCGCGGACAGTCCAAATCACGAGCGCGTTGTTGCGACCTTGAAGGTGAAGGGCAGTTTGTATTCCTTTACTGGGCTGGCTATTGCAGAGGCTGCGATGGTAATTTTGCGCGGTGGTGAAACAGAGGCGAAGAAGTTGGGAGGAGGCATCTTGACACCAGCGACTCTAGGTGACGAATATGTGGAGAGGCTCAGGGCGGTCGGTGTCGAGTTCGACGTCAAGATTCTATGAGTTTATCGCGCTGAAACATCATATTAGCATTCTGCGTTCTTTCAAGTTCAAGAGTGGTGATTGATCCAAGCTCTTGTCGATAGGCATAGACCCTTGAATTGACCATCTAATAGACTTATGGACATCTGAAAGACATGAGGGATATTGGAACCTGCAATTTATAACTTTCTCACATGGTTTTCAATCCCATCGAGCTCTATCAGTGCCGCTGTTAATTGCGCCGAATTCAGCAACTGCCTATTTCGGAGACTAGTTGGTTCAAACACCCGTCGAACATAATAATTTCAAGTCGCCACAGCCCACTGACTGTTATCAGGGTTCTTGTCTAGGCAGTAAAGCCACCATCAACAGTATATACAGATCCAGTAATGAACGAAGCGTGTTCGCTGAGAAGGAAAGCTACCAGGTTTGCGACTTCCTCAGGTTGTCCAGGTCGGCCCATTGCCGCGCGGTGGGCGAAAGGGTCGTCCGACTCACTGGAAGTGATTTCCGCGGGGCCTTGTTGGATCATTGGTGTCAAAATAAGTCCCCTAGCAGGTAACCCCCACGTTAGACCATCCGGTAACGCACCACAAATCATGAGATATAACAAACACGAGAAAGAGGGTAAGAAAATGGAAGAGGGACATACGGTGCAATGGAGTTCACCCTAATCTTATCGCTCGCCACCTCCCTCGCGACAGATTTAGTGAGCCCGATGATCCCGTGCTTGGTTGCCGCGTAGGCACTCGCGCGCTCTCTGCCAACAATACCCACAACGCTTGCCGCGTTAACAATGCTTCTGTCCTTGCTCATTGTCCCTCGTTCCCATCTCCCATTGGCCAACCGCTTCATGGCCTTGACCTGCTCCGACACGCAAATCATCGTCCCCGTCAGGTTTATTCCAACCACGGAGTCCCATTCCTCGTCCGGCACATTCTCGACGGTTTCAAAAGACCCGCCAATTACTCCCGCCATGTTTGCAGCTCCATCAAGACTACCCAGCTCGTCAACTGTGCGCGCGATCCAGGTAGCAACAGCGGACCGTGAGCGCACGTCCAAGGCATGAGTCAGGACTCGGGCCGAAGGACTTTCCTGTTTGATAGACTCGGCGGCCGCGGCAAGGTTTGCTTTGTTGATGTCCGCCAGAGACACAGCAGCACCCTGTTTAGCAAGAAGCTTGGCGGTCGCAAGACCGATACCAGACGCACCACCAGTGATCGCGAAGATTCTTCCTGCGGGAAAAGCCATGTTCAGGGTTGGAACAGAGATGAAGAAGCAGCTAGAATGCTAGATTGAATGAATATTCAATGGAGTCGCCGCTCGTAAAGATTAGGGGTATAGATAATATTGCCAATGCGGTAGTTCAGGGGAACGATAATTGATATTAAATATTGAATGGCTTTGAATAAAGCGCGGAACTCCCGTCCGTCATGGTGACTTCGGCGTTATCATCTCGCCAAGACACGGGCATTGCGGCAATATGCTTATATAATCTAAATTTGAAGGAATCCACGGCTTTTTCACTGCGGCTTTTACTACAGCTTCTTACGAGCAGGGTTAGACATCTTACGAATGGGAATCGAATCGATAGATTTATTCGGTGCTAAGTCTTACGAATGTCGAATCGAATTTCTTAACATTCGATTCGATATCGAATCTGCGGCGCGCCTGTTCGATTCGATGCGAATTAAATGTAACTTATCCTGTTTGATATTTAAATGTATTAATTTGAATATAGAGTATCTTATTTAATATTTAAACTGAGTAGAATATTATATAATTTGATATTAAATTAATTAGCTTTATTTATTTAATTAGAAATTAATTAATTTAGTTAAATAAATAATTATAATATTTAAATTATATTTAAAAAGTAGATTTAGTGTAATTTATAAATATATTAAGAGGTTATTAATATCCTTTTTAATAACTAAATAATATATAATCTATTAAAAACTAGAAAATTAATATATTTTATAATACCTCTAATATATATAATAAGCAAGTAGGATAAATAAGTAAGTATAATAAAAATCTCTTAACTTATATTATTTCTATTTAATTAATTAATTCTTAACTATATACTATATCAAACTTAAATATTAAGGCTAGAATTCTTCTTACTTTTTAGATTCTTTAAAATAACCTAAAATTAAAGCTTTAATATACTATAGAAATTTATAAAGTTAGTTATATAATACTATAGTACTAGTAGAAGAGTATTCTTTCTATATATAATACTATTTCAAAATTACACTAACTATCTAATCTAGAGAAATAGATTATTATTTAGTTTATTCTTAACCTGGATTTATAAGAATTTCCTTTGTAATTATATAATATTAAAGAAATAGCTAACTAACTACTTACTAACTATAATATATTATTTATTAGTAAGTACTGGATTTTAAATTTTATTAGATAAT